AGAACCCATTTGGGTTGTAGCAAAACTGGGCTTTCTCATGATTTATGATTCCTTGGAATATGCAAAGAAAAACGAACCCAGACACAGATTTGCAAGATGTGGCCTATATGAGAAGAAAAAAGTCATCAAAAAAAACAGTGAAAGGAATGCAAGAACAGAATGAAGAAAGTCAGGGACTCTAAAAACCATTGTTGGTGCTGGCAAAAAGAAGTGAGCTGGAGATTGGACAACAGAAGGAGTAAAGATTTTGTGGTGACTGTGGTGATTATGCAGATTTTTCATGAGAGGATTAATAAACAAAGAACGTTCATGTGTCTGAAAAATATACACATATGTATATATAAATTTCTGAGTAACACATTCATGTAGTTCAAACTCAAAGATAGTAGGAGATACACAATCTTATCTCTTCATTTGCCTAGTTATCACTTCTTTCCCTTCCACACCAGTCTAACAACTTTTAGTTTCTTTTCTATCAAGAGTTTCTTCGCATATAAAAGCAATATAAAAATCATATTTTCTCCCCTTCTTAAAACCTAAAAGATAGCCTATTTATACATACTGTTCTGCATCTTGGTGATTTTTACTTAACATATCGTAAGATCCTTCCATATTAGGTTAGAGAGGGCATCCTCATTCTTGATTATCACTGTACTGCATTCCACTATGTGGATTACCTTACTCAGCCAGCCCCATTTTGACAGACACTGGGATTATTTGCAGAGTTTTGTTATTACAAACAATGCTGCCATGAATATAACCTCTTATGTACATCATTTTGTATGGGTGCAAGTATATCGGTTGAATAAACTAAAGTGGAATTGTTGGATTAAAAAGTGCATGCATTTTTAATTGTGGTAGATATTGCCAAATAGCTTTTTATAGAGGCTGTACTAATTTCCACTCCCAACACCAATGACAGTGCCTCTTTTCCTACACACTAGACTATCAGCATATTCTTGGATTTCTGCCACTCTGATATGTGATTGATAAATGGCATTCTTAATTGAGTGAGGCCGAACAATATCTCATATGCTCAAGAGCTATTTCTATTGCCCGTTAACTGTCTTTTCCTAGCTTTTGTCCATTCTTTATTGGGTTGCGGCAGTGGTGTGCTGGAGCTGTCTTGAACTATTTCATGACAGCCAATTGTTAAATTTTTGGACATTTGGAATCTGGTTGATTTCATGTTAGTAGCCTGAAACTGGCCATGGTGGGGAATATTTACACCAGAGAAACTGGAAAACACTGATTGGTAGGAACCGTTCCCCACTGCCAGCTGTTAAACATTTATCAGCACAGGACTGGTTGGTGGACTTCTTACTGATTCCTAGAAACCTTTTGTATAAGGAAATTAGCCCTTTGTGATTTGAATTGCAAATAGTTTTTCCCAATTTGTCATTTTCCTTAACTTGTTCATAGTTTTATTCTTGTCATACTGAGGTTTTGCAAAAAATTAAGCAGAATTCTCAATCTTCTGATGGTTTTAATTTTAAGTCATAGCTAGAATGGACTTTTCCATTGTAAGTTACAAAGGATTTCTCCTATGTTTTCTTTTAGAACTTTTATGGATTTGTGTTTTACATTTTAATCATAGGTTCATTTGCTGTTTTTCTTGTTGTAAAATACGAAATACAGATCCAGCTTATTTTTCCAAAGCAAAACACAAACAAATGAGACCTAGAAATACATATTTTTTAAAGCAACACATTATGTTGAACTATATATCAGTCCTCATGGAATGAAGCAAAAGCAGTTCTTAGAGGGAAATCCATAGCCTTGAGTTTATATTAGAAGAGAAACAGTTAGGAGGTTGTTTCCAATTTGTTAGAAAAATAACAGAATAAACCCAAAGGAGAGTAGGAAGGAAGTAATAAAGATAAGAGTACAAGTTAATGAAATAGGAATTAAACATTCACTAGACAGGATTAAGAAATACAATCGTATGAGGAATTGGATAATCCAGTCTTCCATCAACTCCAAGAAGATAAAGTGGGAATATTTTCCTCATTAATGGAGCTGGCATAGCCTTAGAACTAAACCAGAGGAAGTACGGTTGAGACATTGTGAGTGTGTATATTGTGAGCATAGGAGTTTATCTCAGGAGTTTTGTTTTTGTTTTTAAAGATTTTACTTTTTTTTTTTTTTTTTTTTTTTTGACAGAGAGAGTGAGCATACAAGCAGGGCGAGTGGCAGGGAGAGGGAGAAGCAGGCTCAGTGGAGGGAGAAGAGTAGGGAGCCTGATGCAGGGCTTGATCCTAGGACCCTGGGATCACGACCCAAGCCAAATGCAGGTGCTTAACTGACTGAGCCACCCGGCTGCCCCTTATCTCAGATTTAATAGCTTAGAAACTTCCAGATGGAGCTCAGTGCATCTAAGAGAAGAATCCTCTTGTCTCAGAAGATGCAGAGAAAGCATCAAAAAATTCAACAAACATTTTGGCAAATTATTAGCAATTAGGAATAATAAAGGAGTTCTCTTAGTCTGTTGAAATATCCTAGTTTTTGTGAAATTGCGGAATATTTTTTGCTTAATGTGACTCAGAGTAGTAAATCCTACCTGTATGGGTGTGGACTACATGTCTGAGACAGTGGGATAAAGGCAGAGAAATGAAAGGGTAGAGTTCAAAGGGAAAAAACTGAAGTCTTATTTGTAGATGGTATTCTATTTACATAACTAATCTACATACAAGTTAGTAAAATTAACAAAAGTTTAGCAAGGTTCCCAGAATTAAGATCAAAATATAAAGATTAATTACATTCACGTTTGTCAGGAAGTTAGAAAATATAGTGCATCATAAAAATAAGGCACCTTTGAATAAATCTATAAGAATTGAGTAAGGCTTTTAGGAAAGATAAAGCTTTATTGTAAGACACTGAAGAAAGTGAGATAAATGAAGGAAAAAACATGGAAAGATCAATATCATAAAGCTGTCTTATTCCCCCCGCCATCCTTCAAATTAACACTGTAGTCCACATAATGCCAGTTAAGATTTCAACAGGTCTTTTTAAACTGAATCTTTAGATGCATGTGGAAGAGAGCAGAGGCTTTAGGAAAAAGTGGGTTGATTTCCAATTAGCAAGATTTTTTCTTTTTAAGCTCATCACAACATTTTGATGTTGCACCAGTGTGGACATGTGGACCAATGGGATAGACTAGACAATTGAGAAGCCTACAAATGTATTGGTAAATGACAAAAGATGGCTTTGTAGATCAGTAAGAAAGGGATTAGGAAAATGTATTTGGGTGTTGGTAGTCATATGGAAAAAATAAAACAGATCTCTCCTTTACCTCCTACAGAAAAATCATTTCCATAAGTGACCTCACAAAAAAAATGTTGAGTGTAACAGTAAGTTTTGGAAAAATATATACCCTATGGTATAATTAAAAGCACTTAAAATATATAAAATAATGCCATCTGTTTCATGGTTATACAACGATATTAAAAGTTTAAAGAAATGCAAGGGGATAATGAACGCTGGGTTTAGGATCAGGTTACCAAATGTTGGGAGAAAGTAGGAGGTACAGGGGCATTAGCAAAGATTTTTATTTTTTAAGCTGAATGGTTATGGATGTTCATTTAAAATATCTTTTTGTGACCTAAATGTTTTACAGTAAATTTAAAATAGAGAGTGAGATTCATTTGGTTTTTCATGTTCACTTTGCCTTGGTGACTGCCTTAATTTAGCTTGGTGACTTCCTTAAGAATATAAAATGGCCAGCCAGGCAGGCACAGGTAGCTAAACCAGTGATGTGGCCTTGGACAAATTAATGAACCCCCCCATCCCATTTATAACTTTCCTCATCTGCAATATGAGAATAATTATATGTTCTTAGGAGGATTCCAAGTTCACACATATACAGCTCTTAGTATAATACCATACATGTAGCTCTTCGTATAGATTCTAGAATTTGTGAGTCTTTACTTCAGCTGTGATTAAAAGTTATTCTTTCTAGTTTTAATTTTTTTTGTCTTAATGCAATGCTTTTATTGCTCCTTACCTCCCTTTCTTGGACCTTTTTCAAGCCTTAAGATTTGTTTTCCTGTATTCTTTTTCTGTAAGCTTTCTTAAATGATGAGGTAGAAGTGGTTTTGAGCAACATAAGATGCCAATGTGAGTTCGTTGGTTTGTGTTTTCCCTATCAGATTGTTCTGACTGAAGTATAGCAGGAGAGGCATTTTGTGCCCACCCAAAACCAAAGACGCCCTGAATTTTAAAAAGTTTAATCTCTAACCATACTAGTCTGATTATCAATGATTTTGCCTTTCTGAGTTCACTTTTGTGGTTTCATGGTTTAATAATGGGAGTTAACAGATTGCTTTACTTACAATTGGCAAATTCTTTGAACACCTGTGACATTGCATTATTTTTAGGTCGTTGTTTCTCTTGCTACTCCTATAATACTGATTCTGTCTTCATCTTTTGCAGCTTAGGAACTTGTAGGCATACATGCTTTAAAATAGAAGTGTAATGCTGCGTATCAAAACACATTCTCCAGGGTGCTCTAGCTTTTGTTGATTGCTGAGTTAAGGGTTTGGTTTTTTGGTTTTTTGTTGTGTTTTATTTTATTTTATTTTGCTTTGTTTTGTATTTACTCTTTTTTCTGTAGTATTTTTCATAAGATGATAGCTAATATTTTCTGCCTTTGGAAATTTGACAGATTTGTAGGTAATAAAAAAGTTTAATGTGAAAAAAAAATCCTCTAATAGATATCTCCTCCTCATCAGAAAATATAATATGCTAGAACCTTTGTAACAGAAGCACATTCCAGGTTCACGTCTCTCAGAAGTTGCTAACCTAGTTGTAGAACCTGGGTGGAGGACGAGATGCGCGTGCGTGTGCACACAGGGAAATGGGTCAGAACAGCCCACGAGGAAGACCCATGCCCCAGCGGGTGGCCCATTCAATGCCGCTTGTTCATGGTGTGGGTGGTTCTCTTGAGTTGGTCACACCTACTAAAGACATGATGGAAACCCCGTTTTTGCTGCATCTTCCAGGTCGGATCCGCACGAGACGGCAGAGCTCCGGGAGCGCCACCAATGTCGCCACCACACCTGACAATCGAGGCCGTAGTCGCGCCAAAGTGGTTTCACAGTCCCAGCGTAAGAAGTATATTTTATACTCTCTGTTATCTCAGTTTTGCTCAGCAGCCCACTCTACGGTTGAAGAATTGGTAGTATTTTCAGTACTTCAGGGGAGAAGCATTTGTGTGGCTATAAGCTGCTGTGAATAGTCTTGATGTTTGTGGGTAAGCTTAGAGCATGGACTGTTCCAGGGTGCTTTCGTCTCCTGGCCAGGATTTAAATTTTGTATTATTAAGCATTAAATATTAAAATGTGGCTTCTCTCCCTTTCCTCAAGCATCTCAAATTGAGACCTACCTGGGCTGTGACCCATTTTACTGTTGATAAGGACTCCCTCTGATGTAATTTAAGAGCAGTACCTGGGGATTATTTTAACATGGAGTTCTCTTTCAGTGGTAATAAGCAAATCCATTAAAAGCTCTTCCCATTAACCCTGTGTTCTAACATTTGCAGCCTGCTCTCTTCTTCCTGCCAGTGTGGGCTCCTGCTTTGCCCCTCTGCTCTTGCTTCCATTACTGCTTGTCTATACATGTCGAGTCACTTGGCTTGTTAGCATCGGCCATGAAAGCAGCCACAGATGGAAGGGGGGGTTCACATAGCTCTTGGGAGCACCCTGGTGTCTCACCTCCCAGCCACACATGCCTTTGAGTTCCCCACTCCCTCTGTGTGCATAGAGCTGGGTGTCCACATGCATGTGGTGGGGGAAGGCTCCCCTTCCCTGGGAGCTGCACAGGGTTGCTCCCCAGCCCCTATGTGTCCACCTCCTTTGTGGCCCCCGGAGCTCTTTGGCTCATGTAGAGAGTCTGTGGCCAAATCTTAGGTTTGCCTTAGTTTTTAGAATGCCTTTCTCAGCTCCTTGTGAATTCACGTACTCTCCCCTGTCCCTCTGGTAACTCTAGACCTCATGTTAAACAAGTGTAATGCCTTTCTGAAAAGAAGGTGTGATGCCGGTGATCCACTGCTGCTGGGTTTGTCTGATGCAGAAGCGCAGGCTTCTGGGGCATCACACAGGTATATACAATATAGTGTAGGTTGTGCATCTGTGCGTAGCCCAGCAGCTTCTACCTTGAGAACAGCATGCCGGCTCTGGTTATTCTGTTGAACCCTAGTGATGCCTGGAGTCACAGATGGATAGAACGTTCTGTCATGACCTCATAAACTTGAGTCAGGTCTTCTCGCACAGAAAGTTTTCTTGACAAAAATGTTCAAAACTCAAAATATGGGTTAGTATGTTAAAATTAAGTTTAATAAAAAATGTCTAGATTTTAGCTGTGCTGTGTTAGTTCCTTTTTTGGAGAGGGAGGGTTGAACAGTACTTTGCATTTCTTTCTGTCTGCTGTTCACTGGCATTGGCCTCTGCAGGGGTTCTTGCCACTAGTCTGGCTCCTCTGCGTCCGAGGTGGTGAAGACTACTGGCTTCTGTAGTGGGGGTGAGGGCGAAGAGGGAGCATTACCCCTTCAGGCCTGTAGAAATCCTGCACCCAGGCTTGGGGCTCCACTTTAAAATAAAAGTCTTCAGTTTCACTTTACTCTCTAAATTCCACTCACAGGAAGGGAGACAGCACCAGCAAACAATTAAGACTGGACCTCAAACTTAGGCATATAAATTAAGTGTTAAAAAAATGATTTTAATAGGAAGTAAAAATGAGCACATTTTTATGTTTTACAAATGTAGATAGATACACTAGCATTCGTAGTCCTGGTATAATATTAAGTAGATTTAATTAACATTGGATTTAAGGCCCTTAACAGCATATTTTAAATGTTTGAGGATTCAAATATGTGAAGATTAATATTTAAATGTTTGAGGATTTGGCATAGGACATTCAGGTGAAACTACTTAGTAGCAGTTTCTTTAAATTCATGATGTTTATCGAGCACTTGCTCTGTGCGAAATGCTAGTTAAGGTGGTGGAGGTGCACGAAAGAGTAGGATGCAGTCACTTCTCTCTGCTTGCTCAAAACTAGAAAAGAGATGAGCTGCTGGAGGCCAAGACACTTGTCTTCTCTGCATCTCCTCCACCTGGCCCCAGGCCTGGCACATTGTAGGTTCCAGTGTTTCATGAACAGACCTGAAATAAATGCTGAATAGAGTATGATATGACTATAATAAGCATAAGTACAAAAGTAGACTAGGAGGAAGAAGACCTAGAATAAAAAGCTATTTTGCTAATGTGTTTGTGAACAAAGACATTTGTGTTGTGTTGCATGCTGACCTTCTGTATTGTGCTATTGTCTTTTAATCCACTTTTTGCCTGTCCTTTGGTCTGCTCTCATAATCAAGGATCCAGATCTGCTAATCCTGCTGGTGGTAAGCCGTTTCTTTTCTTGCCTTTTTTTTTTGTTCTCCCCTACCCCCATGTCCCATGTTCCTTGCACAATATTAATTTCTGTGTTTATTTTGAGCTTAGTTAATCTTTCTGCATTTTTTCTGTATGTTCAAATTCTAGAGTTTGGAATGGATTTCTTTTCTCCTTTTACACAGCTTAATAGTTCATTTGGGACCCAAAGTTTATGGGCAAGATTAATAAATCCTGAGACCGGTTCTTTTTCATGGTGATGTGTACCACTGATTTTTATAATGAATTTCATTTTGAATTGTAGCTGTCATTATAAAGTCCTAATTCTTGTGAGTGGTTACCTTAATGATTCATTTGAATGATGGAGGTGTGTGTGTGTTTCCAGGTTAAGTGTTATTTTAAGGGTTTGTATCCCTGATTTATTCTATTCTGATATGTAATAACATGCATTTTATGTTTGAGAATTTTGTTACCTTCTCTACTTCAGGAGAGTGGTCTAAGTAGATGACTGCCATTTTGGTGTATTGATGTGATCTTTAAAATTTTGCTGTTTTCTTTAAGAAAAAATGTCTCATGAGTAATGGTTATATAGCTATCCAGCCACTTAGTCATTTATAAAAATTACTGACTATATGATTTGTTTTTAATTTCTAATTCTCTTGTATACATCTCAGGGCATGTGGTCTATATAATTTTCTACTTTTGTAGATTTCTGAGATTTCCTTTGAAGATTAGTACGCAGTTGGTTTTTGTAATATGTGTGGAAAAGTGAAAAGAATTTCTTCTGTTTATTGTACATGTGTGTATGTGGGATGTGTGTTTATACATATCTGTATAATTTTGACTGCTCTGTCAATTTCAGAGAGGTATGTTAGTTACTTGTTTCATTAGATGTTATTTTTCTTAGAGGTGTCTTAATAATTATGACCTTCTGAATATCTCTCTATATTTTTATCAATTTTATGTTTTATATTTCAAGGCTCTGTTACTTGGAACGTAAAGGTTCATGGTTGTTATGTCTTCATTGACAGTGATTCTTTTATTAATATGAGATATCCTTTGTCCTTTGTTTAATGCTGTTTCATTCTATTTTATTGTTTTGTATTAGGTATGTTGTTTATTTCTTATAAACAACATTCAGTTGAATTTCATTTTTTTAAAAGCCAATCCAAGAATCTTTTAATAGATGAATTTAATCCAGCCACATTTATTATGGTTATGTTTGAGTTTATTCCTACTATTTTATTTTGTTTGCGTTTATTCCTACCATTTTATTTTGTGATTTTTATTTACCATGTTTCTAGTTATCTCCTTGCCTCCTTTTCTTCCATTTGTTAAGTTAATGGGATGTTCTTGGATCTGTTTTCTTCCACTAATGTTTAAGAGACTTCTGTTAGAATTCTCTTTTTCCAATGGTTACACTTAAAATTTTTCACATATCAACTCTTAAAGAATAAAAATACAAAACAATAAACACCTTTGTGATTATTTGTAGAAATTTGCTGAGGAACAGGGAGCTGTTTGTACTCAGCCTGCTTTTTGAATCAGAAATTTTACTGTCATTTTTGTAGAATTCTACCTGTAATAATTCATTGTTTGAACATTCTTTTATATTTGATGTTTTCTTATGCTCTATTTAAAAGAAAATAGTACTACCACCAACAAAAAAATCCATTTTAATATAAAAGTATTTCAGCCAAATGAATGTACTTACTGACTTCTGAAATTCTTATAGTTTATTCTCTGATATACAGCCATTCTTCAGTTTTGTTTTATTTCATTTTTAGCTGGCAGCCGGTCAAGTTCCCCAGGGAAATTGTTGGGAAGTGGTTATGGTGGCCTTGCTGGGGGTTCCTCAAGAGGCCCACCTGTGACCCCCTCTTCAGAAAAACGAAGCAAGATTCCCAGGAGTCAGGGATGTAGCCGAGAAACAAGTCCAAACCGAATAGGATTAGGTAAGGATTCTCGAAGACCTCAAAACATCATTCCCAACTTGGTCATAATTTTTATTGTAATGACTTTGTCTAATGTTGGAAATAGAGATCTGTTTTTGAACTGAGGATGTCACTTTGCCTTTGTTAAAAAGACACTCTGATTTGTGCTTTTTACAGATTATGGCATGTTCAGGTTTGAATTACAGCTGAAAAATACATGGGCCTCACCATTCAGACTGATGGAAAAGAATTACGTCACCATGGGCTTTTGTGTTTTAGAGCCACTTAACAAAATGTTAGAACTGGGGGAATGGGCAGGATTGTCTTCTTCACAATTAGTAGCAGTGTTGCCTTTCCTCTTTCTTTCATGCACTAGCACTAAGTAGCCATTAATCTGTATATGCTTGCAAAAGCAATTTGTAGGGTCCACGTATATTTTGATTTTGAACTTCTCTAACCTAATTGGTGGAACTTACGGTCAAAGAATGTGTATAGATACTTCAAACATGAAAACTAGAAACAAATGAAAACCAAATATATAATATTTTTGCGTTATAGTGTTTAGTTTCTTTGCGACAGCCTGTAGGATTACCTGAATTACTCTCAGCAGTTTACTCCAAATCTAATTCATATATAATCTTTTTAATATAAAAGGCATCTTTTGTAATATAAGAAATCTGTGTACATACTCTTTCTTATACTTTTATTGTTTTCTAAGGGTAAAAATCTATTAATGTGAAATCAGAGTACAACTATATAAGTCCTGTTGGCTTTTCTTTCTCATTTATTTATCTCATCAACAGCTTTACTGTTGTTTCCTGTGATGCACAGGCACTTTATTAAGCCTTAGGATCAGAAGACAAAACAGTTAATAGCTTCTGATTTTCAAAGAGCTTGCAGTCTAAGGGGTGGAAATGTAAGATAGTATGACAGATACTGTGACACAGTGCTCTGGGACCATAGGAAAGGAGTGTCTTAGGGCCCTTGCCTACACCATACATTCTTCCCAAGAGAGAAATCTGGAAGGACTGGGAGAGGAGAGCCTTGCCAGAAGAGGTGCATTTTTTGATGATGTGTAAGGCAGGATTAGGCAAGGTAGGGAGAAGAGGAAAAAGGTATTCCAGGGCACAGAGGAGTGTGTTCAGAAACAGTCAGGGGAGGGAGCATAATGGGCTCTGGGAACCACAGGTAATTCAGTTAGCTGCAGCAAAGGAAGTTTGTCAGGGTTAGGTGGGAGAGGAGGGCAGTGAGACTGGGAGGGCGCTGCTTCTACAAGTCCTTGAAGGCCACCTGAGCCCTGAGAAGTCGGGGAGAGGGGACATATTTAAGAGGTAGAGTGGATAGGAGTTGGTTTGACTAACATTTCCAAAGCAAGTGAGAAATTTCTACATGATCCCAGCTTTCTGTTGGCATTACATAGCATGGTCCCTGAGCTGACAGGTTACTTGGATCCAGCTATAACAAGTTATGTGGATACCCCAGGGAAAGTGGCATGACTAGAATATCTAAATTTCAGGGCGCCTGGGTGGCTCAGTGGGTCAGGCCGCTGCCTTCGGCTCAGGTCATGATCTCAGGTTCCTGGGATCGAGTCCCGCATCGGGCTCTCTGCTCGGCAGGGAGCCTGCTTCCCTCTCTCTCTCTCTCTGCCTGCCTCTCCGTCTACTTGTGATCTCTCTCTGTCAAATAAATAAATAAAATCTTTAAAAAAAAAAAGAATATCTAAATTTCAGATTTGAGGCTGTAACATATGTATGTTTGGATCTAGTTTCGTCTGGAAAATGCATTTCATTTCATATTTAGTCATGAGGTTTTGGCTGTCCCTTTTTGGTAGTTAGCTAAATGTATAGGATATATCTTAGCAATCCAGATTAGTATCATACTTTTAAAAATACTTTATTTTGGGGGATTTGACTTTTTACATTATTAAAGTTGCCTTTTTTACCTTTTTCTTGAAATTGGGAGTGGAACTGCCCTAGGTTGCCTAACATAACTCTAGGACCTGGTATTCCATGGTTTTAACTAGGAAGTTTGTGTTGTGGATAGTTGAAAAGATAGCATTTACTAAGCCTTTACAAGGTCCTATGAAACCCATCCATCAGTAAGAACTAAATAGGAACCTATTCTCTTCCAGAGAGTTCTTATTTGAGACAGTATTTTGGACAAAGTTCTTTGGTGCTTATTAAGAGGGGATTAGTTGTGTAAAGCTTTGAGGTCATATATACAGTTCTGTTTAAAGAAGATATCTTATTTAAATTTCTGCACATAGTGAGAATACACACAGCTACAAAGATAGATAAATGAATCCAGTGCATCTTTCCACTTCTTCCTATAGTACTGCTGAGAGATTCCTTTTTATGGGGTGACTGGTGTACAGTGTTTCCAGCAGTAGATTGCCCCTTGTTGTGATCATTTAGTAGATACTGGTATATGCCTGCGTATCTATGAACATTTGGTTCATTATATAGCAACTTTAAATATAAATATTCGGAAAAGGGGTAAGTGTCTTTTAAGAATATTTTCTTTTGTCCCAAACCAATTGATAGTTTTAATCGTTGCTAAGCTAGGCTTGGAATTTGCACTGAGAATTAATTCTGCAAATTATATTTGGTTCAGCTATGCCTCAACTGTGATAAAAATGACACCAGAGCTCTTCTTCTTTAACATTTAAGGTTTCTTAAGCAAAACAGGATAGAATTCCTGTTGAATAACCAAGAAACAAAAGAGAACCCTGCTACTCTCTTTTTTTCTTGGCAGTTTATTCCTTCATAAACTGTTCAACCACACAGAAGAGATTGTAAATTGTGTCGTTTGAGGGTTTTATTCTGTTTTTGATGAATAATAAAGTCCTGTGAATAGCTACTGTCTATAGCAATTACATTTTGGAAGTTTGCCTTTAGTTTTGTTCTTCCACTCATCTCTTAGAAAGGGTTTAAAAATATTTTTATTTTGGGCAGCTTACATCCTGTGGATATGCATTTAGGATGTTTTCAGATTTTCTGGTTAAAATATTTTGAAAGAAGCAAAAATTAAGGGTAATCAGTGTCTCCTGTTAAATTAGACTACTGTGTTCAAGACCACAACATGGAAATGTCCAGACTGTAGAGACGTTTCATGGTGGTGCTCCTTATTCCTCTTGTACTTTTGCTTTTGATGTGAGTTCTGGTTTAGGATCCATCCCTTCTAAAAAGACAAAAGTCGGGTTTACCCCAAAACACTGTAAGAGTGTCTCTCAGAAGTGAAAGCCAATCAGATGGGTTTTGAAGGCTTCCCAGCCTTTCCTGTAAGCACAGGACTTCAGAATCCCTGAAGAATACTGTTTTCAGAAAGTTCAAACAGCAAGCACATCTTCATCATCTCTTCCTCTTCTGTTATGCCTTCACATTATATATTCTCATAGAGAACAGTCAGTTTTGAAAATACATAAAGAGTCTGATTTGATATATTGTTTTTTTTAGCTTTGACCATCTAATTCATTAGTCTTTATAAAAATCATAGATTGATGTACTTAAGATCTTCCTTGAGGAGTGGTCTTTGGAAGTGCTATTAGAAGTGGCCATTACTCTTCTCATGTTTTAAATTACCCAGCATTTGAACAGTTGCTGTCACCACTAGAGGTCCCTTAACATGGTGTGGGGCAACCATGGGCAGATGTTTGCAAATTCGTAAACAGAATTCTTTCTATGTATGTTACTAATAGCCTTTGTTAAGGAAGCCAGTTGGCACGAAGGGGAGAATACACTTTCTGTGGCTGAAATACTGTGGAGGGTAAATCTTGTTAAGAATTATGCATGTTGTTGTTTCAGATCATGTCCGCTTATCCCTTTTCATGCTCTTGTCTTCACAAAGCAGGCTCAGCGAGAGAGAGCAGAGATTCCCCACTGCTGTAGCATGTGTATTATTTAAGGAAGGGAGTGGAAGCAGGGTTAACAGTCGGAAGGGATCAGGCAAGAACTTTAGGAAATGCTCAACTTAAGCACGTGCATGTGTGAAACACTTACCAGGACTGTCTTTATTTCCCATTGTTTGTTTCAGAGCGGGTAGTGAAATAAGGTAAGATTTTCATGTCTGCCTTTCAGCAAGGAACTCAGAGGTACTCACATGTGTACCTCGTCTCGCAGTACCCTTCTCATTTAAATGATGGGACTCTTCCTTGGAACCTTCCTAAGGGGAGGCTAAGACAGGAGAGGCAGCATGGCTGGACCAGTGAGTTAGTGTGGTCAGTTCACAAATTAGCTGTAGTATTGATCCTCTAGGGATAAGCCGCATTACTTGCTAGGTTCTAGGTACGTTCTCATATATTCGTGTCAGGGGATGCTCCCTAGTTTTTTAAGGGTTTTTTAACTTAGCCCCTGGCATTTGCCCTCATCATAGGAGCTGTTCAGAATTATTATCAAGAATTGCTGATTATATCATCATGGCTAGTTGGGAGCAGAAACCCAGTGCCTCCATGTCACATGGCAAATGAAGGCGAATTTAGGAATTACTCCGACAATCCCAAGCAAAGCCTTGTTTTGACAGATTGCTCACATTTCGTTCCTGTTTGATTTTTTCCTTGCTTGTTAGTGCAGACCTAAGCATTTGGACATCTCTTATGTAACTGTGGGGTCTGATGTAACCCTAGCACTGAGCAGAGACCACAGGAGGAAGTTGGTTTGGATTCTCACTTCCATATTCTTCTCCATCAGGGAGTTCCGTGATGCTGGTTTGGAAGTCATTCTTTGTTACAGTTTGGTCATGCTGTAAATCCACGCTGGCTCTGAAGTGATAGGCTCTGCTCACTACAATATAGTAAACATGGCTGGTTTTACATCAGTGACTCTAGTGTATTTTTTCCAGTATATTCAGGGAAGACATTTCTATGTGGTCCAGAATGAGTAGGTCCACGCAAGATGGACATATTTATTGTCCCACCAGCTGTTATGGAGGTGGCTACTCCTAGTCAGTATGCAGAGTCATTTCTGAGTATTTTGCCAGTACTGTGTCTTTGTTCCTTCAGATTAAAGTAGAAAACAAAAGAATCATGGTCTTCCGTGAGCTTTATGGCCAAGTTATGTTAGACCTTAAACTATTCATGTGACTCTGTCTTCTCAGTGTTTTGTAACACGAGCATAACAAAATTACCCGTGGATAATCATACGGTAATTGGCCATCCTTAGGTCAGCAGAGGGCTCTTTTAACATGAATATTGGGAATTGTCAGTCCACATACCATGGCTAGACTCATGGTTAAGGCTGTGTAAGTGAAGGTGCTTGAGTAGGGACCACAGGCAGATCTGTTTGGATTCCCACAGAAAAAGCAGGAACGAAATGTTGGGACCAGTAAATACAGAGGTAGTGGTCCCAGCTCTCTATTCTCTATTGGTTTAGATAAGTAAGTATGTTTGAGGCATCTAGATGCTTACTTGAAGTAGGCAGGTTTTCCAGCTGTGTAAGTCCTTAGAACTTCTCTTTTAAAGAAGCCCAGGCTGAGAGAAGTGAACCCTCTTTCTTTTAACTAGGTAAGTTCATGGAGTTCAGGGACTAGGGCCTTTATTCTGTTTTAACCCAAAATAAATTATCTAACACAGTGTGTATGAAAATGGCTTTAGTCTTTTATCATCTTGTTGAGCCAGTTTGCTAAAGCCATAAAAACTGATCATTTTCTTTAAAAAGTTGGATTTTGGATTTCCCAGTGCCAGTTTGCTCTTTGGAAAGCTTTCTTTTCATTTCTTACATTTAGGTGTTATTTCACCTCCATACAAAAATGCACAGCTTTCCGAGACCTTGAGCATAATCGAGGTTTTATGCAGGCCCTTTGCAGTTGTCAGCAAGCCGGTCAGTGAGGCCTCGGCAGGGAGAGCCATCACGATGACCACCCCGCCCCCAACCCCAGCGCGGACAATGTCATGATTACGTTAACAGAATGTGACTGACGTTTTGTGAGTTTCTCTGTCTTCATTAAACTTCTTCACCTTCTCTGAAACCCTCATGCTGCACACTAGCACGGAGCAGCCGTATCCCTCGACCCAGCATGAGTCAGGGGTGCAGCCGTAATACCAGCTGTGAGAGCAGCCGCGATACGAGCCCCGCTCGGGGCTTTCCTCCACTCGGTGAGTACCTGTAGGCGCTGGCTCTCGGAGCAGAGTTCCCTGCCCTGCTCCAAATGCTTTCCCACACACTGCCAGGTGGAATGACCTGCTCTCCCTCCTCTACTGTCCTCGTGATCCTTTCTTCTCTCTTTCCTCTTCCTTAGTTACCCTTTGTTGTCCCCTTCCCCTTCTGCATGCTTCAAGTTTGGCCATTTCCAGTTTTTATATATTGGAGGAAAAAAACACCACTTTACTCTGCTGTTGCCATTTGTGACCACTTGGCTGGCTGGCAAGCCCATCTGCGTGGTCACTTCTAATAGAAGCGGATGCTCAGTGAAAGTAAATTGCTTCTTAAAAGTAGAGCGAATCCAAAGTGTATCTTTTGCCATTGAATTTCGGCAATTTGTTTTTAATTGTACCTGAGGTCAGGCCCTACATGATTCAGTTCAAAGGTGGAGAAAAATAAAATTGCAATAATGTCTACGAAATGAAATATGCTCAGTTGAGGGGTGATAACATTAAAAAGCTGCATGGATGAAGGTATTGGCTATGCTTTTTTTGTTAAGTGGGTCATTTCAATGCTTCCTCCTAATGCAAGCCCAAAGTAGCTTTTTTGAAAAACTGCTTATGTGTGCAGCACAATGCACGACTTTACCATGCTTACTGTTAACTGATCAGATATTTTCATTCTTCCTGGGCTCACTAAGCTATTGCGAGGCTGTGACCTGATGCCCTCCCAGGACAGAAATTTACAGTATTTGGTGGCCATAAAGTGGTATTAGTACCGTGTCTCAGGTCACTAGCCAGGTGTCCTTTGGGGCTGCTCATCCACCAACCTTGGTCTGTCTAACAGCGAGAGTTTGTATTTTCAGTTTTTAGGATTTGAGAAAAACTGACTGGGAAACCCGTTTCTTTTATGGAATATCATGTTTGCCTTTTCTTCTTAGTTTGAATAGTCTAAAATGGACATATGCCTCTTAGTGCAAATTATTAATTCCTAGAGACCTCTAGGAAAAACACACACTTTCACAAAAGAAAAATACCGTGTATTCTCCAGTAATTGTGTTTCAGTTCTTTGCCATATTAATTGCTGTAAAACTGTGTATTTTCCTTTTGATAAGCATGGCTGGTGGAAATCATTTTAGAATGTTAGGCCTAGGCCTGAAGCTCTTCTGTGGAACTGTGCTCTGCAGCAGTCTGTTACTTCGACTTCAATTATGTAACTGGTCTTTCAGATATGAAAACGGCACTGTGGGTGATCGATCAGAAACACACGGTCTTAATAGTTGCCTCTCTCTGCTCCTGACGTCGCATACTTCTTTCTAATACCCTTTTATCCCATCAGTGTCAGTAACCAAAATCCAGATAGACATCCTTATGACCTGCTGTCCTGTATGCAGTGAAAGCCATGCCAGATGGGTCCCTTGACATAGTGAGAATAGTCTACCTGATGACTGTGAAATCCCGAGTGGGGCACCTTAGCTCGTACACATCAGCTATTCCACAGCGATCTGAAGCAGCAGAAAAGAATTCTCAAATCAGGGCAGCCATGATGTTTTTTCCCCCACCAAATGAACTGATGATTTTTCCTTTTAAGTTAAAGCTCTATATCTCTGCATCCTTGCTGACTATTTGGCCTTCTATACAACCTGTTCTATAAGTGAACGATTCAGTCTATTTATTAGTTATCTGGTCTCTTAGGCAATTCCGGGTTTTTATTTCATATATGTACTGGTATTTTCATTACTGTCCATGGAATTGTCCATGGAAGTAGCCTTTGTAATCCAGCATGCAGTCAGTGGACCAGCATGTGGTCACTGGACCAGCATGCAGTCAGTGGACCAGGCAAGGTGTGCTGAATTCTTGTGCTCCTCACAGAACCCTGAGTACTTGAGTGATCTAGTCTGATTTTCACTTTCTTTGGCGAAATGGATCTGCGTATGGATCTTTCCTGATGACAGCCCAGAATGGTGAAATGTACAGTCGTTCCTACCAGGGCAGAAGATGTGGATGCAGATGTCTCCTCTTCCTAACAAACTACCATTGGCACATGTCTTCTGCTGTGGTCAGGGTCATGGTTAACGACTTCCCAGCTGAAGTTTTATGCCATGCCCCCTTTGCCTCCTTGGGTTCAGTCTGTCCATAAAACTTGTATCCAGTGAGAACAAGAGCAGTGCTTTTCTGCATACCAGCACCACTGTGAGCAGGCGCAGCCCCTGTGGCTCCTGTTCACCCTCCGGGACAGGTGTTACTGTCACTTTTGTTTATGGATGAGGCGCAGCCCCTGTGGCTCCTGTTCACCCTCCGGGATAGGTGTTACTGTCACTCTTATTTACGGATGACAGACAGAGTCTTAGGGAGAATAAGCCACTTTCTCAAGGTCACGCAGCTAGATGGCAGAGCTAGGTTTTAATCCAGTTTGACTTCAAAGCTTGGCTGCTCCCCTGCCTCATTTGAAAGTTTTGATGATTTAGTGTCTTTCATTTGTTCCTCTGAAATGTATTAAATGCTTTCTCTCCAGGCTTAAGCACAAAGAAAGTGTCCAGCAGTGTTTCTAAATCGTGATTTCCAGGTTTGGAGTTAGGACCTAGGAATTCATAGATGAGTCCCTGAAGGCAGTCCCCAAGGGAACTCACTGTGCCCTTCAGACAATGTGAAGTTTCCTCTTTCTTCCCATTCACTTTAATAATTGTTTCCCACCTCTTCTATAAATTAGTGAGATTTTGTGTTAGTGTCCCTTTGGATCAATTTATATAGCCAGCCTTCAGTTTGAAATGGGGGGTATGTGAAAATAATTATGTTTTGGTGATTATATATTGGTATTAGGTTTGCATTTTTATTACAGAGTTATTTTGGACCATTTTCATGGTATGAATATGTATATGGTTACAGTGACAGCTTTCAAGTGAAAGGAGGGTCTCTGCTGAAAATCAGGCTTTGACATAAATGGGTCCACTTGGATTCCACTGATGGGTGTTCACTTGAGAACATGACAAAGGACTCATTACATGACAGATTTACTGTAGAATAGTCTGTTGAAACAGAACCAGAAGACAACTTTATAAGGAACCATAAGTATTGCTTAAAAGCTATTTTCAGTTTTAAACTACTATGATAATATTGTACAGTAATATACAGTAAAATTCAGTCTTAAAACGTGTTTTGCCAACTTCCTTATGTCAGGAAAGTGATTATTTTATATCTGTTTTAGAGATTGCCAGTTATTTTTGTGCATCTTGAGGAGTTAGAAATTTTCCTCTTACATGCTGGTAAAAATTTGTCCTTGTCCACCAGATTACCTTTGCTGTTTAATACCACTGATAACCACAGATATGTGCATTTTCATAAAGTGACCTGAGCTTAAAAAAATAAAATTATAGGGGTGCCTGGCTGGTGGTAGAACATGTGACTCTTGATCTCAGGGTCATGAGTTTGAGCTCCATGTTGGGTATAGAGATTACCTTATAAAAATCTTTAAAAAAAAATTATATTGAAGAATTTGAGGTTCAGGTATTTTATGACAAAATGAAAGTGTTTACGTGTACAGGATACTGCGCTCTAGTAGCATGTGTGAAAAGTAGCACTGCTGGGTATTGCTTTATGAAACCTTGTGAGTTTTCTATGGTACAGCCACCCTGTTCTTTCCAGAGTCATGAATATAAGCATAACAGTCTTTTGGGATTTTTTCCGGAGGTAAGGAAAAGCCATATTTTGCATGGCACCCTGCTCAATAAATTCATATTTTGAACCAAGCTATATTTTACAGTTCTTCTGAAAGTAGTTCTATATGCGGACGGAGTTTAGCATAGAATTCCTCAGGTTGCTGAATTAATGGGCTTATGATGAATATTTGCTAATAAAGTAATATTTAACATAGACATATAAATGGGAGTTTACTGGTAACGATCCCTGCCACTGCCAGCACCAGCAGCACCACCACTGTTGCTCCCACCATTTGTTCAGTGCCTGACACTGCTTTAGGTGCTCTTTGATCTCTTGCAACTCTCTCCACTCCCAAGAGGTACGTACCATTTTCAGCACCATTTCCAGCTGAGGAAGCTGAGACACAGAGACTTAGGACTTGGCCTCAGGTCCTCCAGCACTTGGCCTTAGGTCCTCCAGCTGGTTGCAGTCAAACCGGGATTTGCCCCCAGCTGCATTACACGGCAGTTGCTCATAACCAGAGTACTGTGACTGCCTCGCCAAGGAAGCTCCTTAAACCTGTTACAACCAAATTTCTAGCAGTTAAACAAGAAGTTCATTGACACTTGGGATATTCATGGAACAGTAGAGCAAAAATTGGGGGGAACAGAGAATTTCATCTGTTGAGCCCCTTTCTCGGGATTTCGTTCTATTTCTGTTCAGATAACATGATGACCTTCTCTGCATTTGTTTTTGGTGCATGGTTGCATATGCATCACGTACTGATGAGGCATCCTGTGAGCTGAGTAAACAGTCCATTCTACTGCTGTGCCACTCGGTATATAGACGGTGCTCTGTGACTCCTGATGTCCTTCATGTTGCATATTTCCATAACGGCTCATTGAGGCTTCGTGGCATGAATATAAACCTGGAGTCTGAGCCCAGGTGGTACCTAAAGAACACCGCAAAGAGTGCCCTTGTCATGCCTTGTGTGTGTGCTAGCCCCGCGAGAGCCAGCAGGCTGCCGTAGAGTTCGGGGATTGGCACTTGCTCTCCATTCATCTCCAGCATCATCTCCTTTCATGAGAAAACATGGCCTCATTGGGAGCAGTCCGTGCGTCCCCTTTGGACTATGGCATTTCCTGTCTTGGGTACTTCTGTGTTAATCCTGTGGGTGTTGCCGTTCCTTTTACCTGCAGCCTCTCGACGTCATTCCAGGTCCACTAGTGCCCTCTCCACTGCTGAATCTGTTGGGCAGTCAGGTGAACAAGTGCTAACTGCATGCCTTGGCTTCTTCATATGTTCCAGTTTCACACCCATTTTAGCATTTGTTTCCATCAGTGTCGGCTAGCACTTGGCATGTACACACTTCATGTTTGTTTTCCCCAGCGTGCTTTTGATTTTTTTAAGTTGTTGAATGTTTATGCTTCTGTTAATAGGCCGTAGATGCTTTATAGCCTGTTTGACAACATCATTTCTCCAGTGTTCATGTTTATGTGAAAACGAAACAAAAACACAGGGAGGGGCTTCTTTGCCTCTTTTGACTCCACTCCTCAGGAGGATAGCCACCCGAAATAGGTGCCCTGGAAAGTCCCTATGGGGAGAGAGGGGATGGAGGTCACCCAGCGGAGTCTTTCATTTCCCAAGGCTTTGCTCCCAAAAAGTGTTGATTTGTGGCATTAATTATTAGTGTTAGGTTCTAATTACTTGGAGGAACTGTTTAGTTACTAAATGTTCCAAATCCTAGCATGCATAATTTCATATGTATAAATGTGTGTCCTAAAACTTTTACGGAAAAACAAGGTCACGATTCAGATGATCAGGTCAGGTGGCAGGCAGCCTTTGCAGCCCATGGTCCCCAAATGTTCCATCCCAGCCTGCTTTAACGATACCAGAAATCCCCCGCTTAGCCACTGGGGCAAAAAGTAAGCATACAGAAATGCTTCAGTTTGCTAGATTTAACTGACATCATTTTTATATGCTAACTACAGTTTTCTTACCTGAGTAAGGCAGACTGTCAATGGGGACAGCTGTCACCAATTCGTGGAGTTATTTTCTCCGTTCTTCCTCTAAGCAAAGCGAGCTATGCTTTTCATTACGTACACTCTGATGAGTACAGTCCCCTGAAAATTAGGGGCCAGGCTAAAGACACAGTCACACATACCCATCTCTTGGGAAATGGAGCTTCATCATAACATCAGAGCAGCAGGTGTAGAACAGACTTCGGTCTGGTGAAAACAAAGCTTGTAACTTTGCTCAGATCCAGACAAACATTTCCCCTTCAGATTTGAAATTCAAATGATCTATGGTACATATCCAGTGATCGGCAGTCACTGTGTATGGCAGAGCCGTATGCTTCTGGGAAGCACAGGATAATTGCATTGTTCTTACAGTTTTAATTTTCTGTCAGAAAAAAATCAGTATTATCCCTGGAGCAAGAATTGCTGGCATGAGATATACTTTTTTTAAAAATTTTTTTAAGATTCCTTTTTATTTAAGTTTATGCTGGTAATTTCTAAATGGCTTACAACTGAATTTTCATTTTGTTACTCATAAATCCCTTACTATCTACCCTTTTTTAATGGTAAAAAGACTTGAGCAAAGATCATGTATAAAAGCATATGCACAGCAAATCTCAAATTTACACTTGTTTCGTGTGTCAACTGATTATATATATATATATATATATATATATATATATAAAATAGGGAGAGATCTAGCTATAATTGCTTTGTGGTCTCTTAGTTTATCTGGCACATTTAGTCATCTTTTAAACATAACAGCTAAGACAGCATACAGTATGACTAACAAGTGCATTAAAAAAGGGGATAGTATAACATACAATTTTTGTTTCTTTATAAAAATTTGTGACTGTATAACGTTTGCTTAGCAGTGTTTAAATTTTTTCCCCTTTTGGTGGCGCTGGGAAGTGTAATTTTTGAAAATGACATTTTAAAAAAGCTAAGTAACACCTCACTTTTACAGTCCTTGTTTTCTAAAGAACTCTTGCTACATATCTAGAGTTTTAAATATATCAGTTTGTAAGAAAGATTAATTCACATAAAACAGATTTAGCTTTCCTTTTATTGTAAATGCTTCATTATGAGAACATGGCTAGTAGAGTTTTTTGTTTTTTGCATTTTGTTTTATTTATTTATTTTTGGTCCAAACAGTATCTTATTTGTTCACAAAAAGAAAACATTTTTTAATCTTAACATTTTTCTTCAAAGGTTTTTAAAAATACATTAGCATTTTAAATAAATGTTTGCCAGTAAATACTGTGATACACTTAGGAAGTATAATTTATATGAACTTTCTCCTGTTATAGCTTTAACCTCAGCTCTTCTTAAGGAAGGCTGCTCTCCTGATGATATGGAACTTTTAAAAAGCTAGTCTTCATTGTCCTTGATCCTTAATAGGCTTAAAATAATTGAATTGCTGAAATTTATTTTAGATTCTTTGGATCATGTCCATTTTGTTTACATGTTTAGGCTATCATTCGAAAGTCCTTTGAGGGACTCAGGATAAATGTATACTGATATTATCTGAATGGTTAGTATTTTGCACTGAAGATGCTAGCTTTTTGTGATGCTCATTGAAGAGTTTTAATAAACTGATCTTTAAATAACCTTTGGTGACACAGGCATCATAAACAAGTACCAAAAATTGAGCTCAGCTAATGACAGTTAAACAGTCTTGACACGAATGAAAATTTGCAGAGATCAGTCAAATACATTTGTTTCAAATTTTAACTTTTGATTACACATTGCATTAGAACTCTGTTGTCAAACCATGAAGCTTTCTAATTAGTTTGGCCAAACATCAGGGCCGCTTGCCTCCAGAGGGAGCACTAACTAGATTAAAAGACTCAGCCCACAGCCCAGCTCACTTCTATAATAAGTTCCCCTCTCTCCCATGTCGCAACACTTCAAAAATACAACATCATTAAAGAGCCATTTCAGTTATTCAGATGCTTTGTGGCACGATAGTATTAAATGTGGAACAGGCTAACCTCTGCCGCTGGTAACCAAGTCCAGTTAGAACTGCAAGTGAAGGGACCTTCAGATTGGCTAGAAACTTTCCAGTGCCTCTGTCCAATAGATGGGAAGAGGCAGGAGCCCTTGCAAAGAACTGAGGAAATTTGAATTAAAGTGACATATCTTTCGGTTTTGTTTTTCTTTAATAGACCGGTTTGGGCTTGGCCAGGCAGGAAGAGGACCTGGCTCTGTGAATGCCATGCGAGTTCTGAGCACGAGTACAGACCTTGAGGCTGCTGTTGCTGATGCTTTGGTAAGAGTCGCAATGTGTATACAGTCTCTTGGACTGTTTTCTCTGTCCTAACAGAAAATCGCCTCCCAAATCAGGGTACTCAGTCATCTTGGGCACTCCATAAAATTGTGGAAATACTGGGTAAATTGATATTGTTAGCACTTTCTCTTTAAACTTCTATCCCTGTACATAAGTGAAAATTGGCCCTACAAAAAATACTGACATTAGGTGTTTTCTTCTGTGCTCCTCAGTATCAAGGAAGTTTTGATGACATTGGGCTTCTCTGATGTCATTGGGCTCCTTTTTTTATTTTTTTCCTTTTTCTCCATGTTTTTTCTTCAGCATTTGCTTTTTTCATCCTCCTGCTTCTCTTGCTTTACAGGCTCTGATGGCATAGCCTAAACATACCGTTATAATAGTAGGTAACAGAGTTTGTGGTTGGAAAATCTCATGTTGGTTCCATGACCACACTAGTTGTTCCATATGATTTTACCTTCATTTGTTTGTCTTTAAAAATGAGTCATTAAGTCATTATTTAAGGAAACTTTCCTAAATTTTAATGCCGATGAACTCTGAGGGTATAAAGCACTGGTGGAATGTGGTTTTGCATCATTATAATGGAGTATCTAAAAAAAAACAACAGCAACATAAAGTGATTAGAGGTCCTTAAATTTGTGCTTATAGCAGAACATCCCCTGGTAGAATCAGCTCATGGTCAAATTGCTTTTAAAAGCTGCATTTCAGCTGGTAGTGACACTGCCTCTAGCATATTCCGGTTGATGTGCTCAGCATTTAAAATAGATTCTCTTTAGAGCTGTCTGATCCCTGGTCTTGCTTGTGCTGTTTTAAGATATATTGTCTCTCTAAGGAAAAACGTATTATAACATCCTGCTTTCAGACCCAGAAGTTTTAAACCCAGCCCCGTTTTTCATCTGATCAAAATGTTACAGTCTTTGGCTAATAGGGATTCTCACTTTCATCCCGTCCTGTATCACCCTCATTTATTCTTGCTCAGTCAGATTTCTTTGACAAGCGGCTATGAGCAACCAGTTTGCCGATGCTCTTCCTGTAAGCAAGGGCCTCCTGGCCAGCTCTATTCAGCAGCCTTCTGTGTAGAAGGGCTTTTTTCCTGGCAGGTACTGGAGTTCAGGATAATGGCACTAACCATGGCTTTGACTTCAGAGTCGAGCTGGAACAGAACTCTGGGAGGCTATTTTTCCTTCCAAGCTGCAGCACTGAGAATCTGTCTCTTATTTATTCAGAGACCCTATTAGGAGGTCAGAGGGGTGGGAAATGATGGATGTACAAAACCCTTAGTTAAATGGGACTTCCCGTTAAGGCAGGGGAGTTCCCTCATTCTTCAAAGAACCGCCCAAGGGACTGTGCACAAAGTTCCAGGGGGCAGAGTTGGACTTGAGAACTTGAGCTTGGGCTTTCCTTGACTCGGGCTTTTCTCTGAACTCTAGCCGTCAGTCCACTCAGGCTGTCCTTATTACTCTTCATCCAAACTGCTTAGCCTCCCCGAGTGACCTGCTGCAGAGGAGAGAGCACAGGAATGGTACACAGTGTTTTCCTCCCAGGCTAGAAACCCCAGGGGCAGACAGAATCTAGCATAGGAACAGACAGGAGAACTTACGATGACTTTCGGGATATATCTTGGTGGCGTGGGAAGAGTTTTAGCATAGCAGGAAGTGTAGTGAGCACTGGAGCGTGTTGCTAGGAGGTGTAGGAAGGGCTAGGAAATGCCATTGTGAAAGTGTTCTTTGTTATTATTCGCTTGATATGAATTCGCTTGCTAACCGATATTTTTGTTTTGCTAAGATATGTTTTGCTGTACACTTTTGTTGCAAGAACAATCCCCACATATGCTTCTGACATAATTCTCTATGCTTTTTCCCCATCCTTCAATATTTTCCTGCCTACAGCTGTTAGGAGACTCCAGGAGCAAGGTACCAGTGCTTTAACTTTTGTTTTACAACTTCATTTTTTTCTGTTGCGAGTATATTTCCTTTAGGAGGTAGTGAAAGCAAAAAAGCATGTAGTGCAATGTAGAAATTTTAGCCTGAATTATGATTTTGTCAAGTCTAGTGAAGCTGTTGTTAGCCATGGAATCAGTCCCCTCTCTCATCTGTTTTAGTGTTTGTTTTTTTAATGTCAAGCTCTGCTCCTTCTCCTGTCATTGTTTTATTTTAGTAACCCAGTTTGTGTCTACTCTTAATGTCATTACTGTTTCATGAATGGATATATTCAACATCTTTCTTATTTTACAAGTCTAGTTTGTGTGTGTATATATATATATATATATATATACATATATATATATCAGACGATCCTATGATTTATAGTTCTAAGAAGGGTACTTCTGAGAGTGAAAGGGGGTACTACCTAACTCATAACTCTGTCGGGACAAGAGGCATAAGGCAGAACTGTCCCGAGCAAGTTATGGTGGATGGACAAGCCATATGTTATTAGAAGATTACATTTGTGAAAGAAAAAAAAAGACAGAAGAAAATTGTATCTGTATGGTTTTAGTCAATTAACTTTTTTTTTTCTTTTAGGGAAAATTGTATTTTTTCAGTTTAATAGCTGTTGCTCTATTATTTATGGGTTTAACTTACAGTTTTATATTCAGGGTAAGAGAAGTGAATGAAGGGGGTCTGCAGGAAGCTTATTTGTGTTCGGACCATTTAAACATCCTTTTACTTGCACTGCTGTGTCCCTCACATTTCAGTTCCAGACTTTCTTAAGGAAGCATGGATATTCCAACAAATTTTCCCACAGACCCTGCTCAAGATAGAATGCTTTCGATTGCGAAGGGGGCCGACGGGTGTACATGCCTGCAGGGTGGCGGGGGCTGGGCCAGGTTAGTTCACATGTGCCCCCAGTAGGCGTGTGACAGGTAGCCTTGTTGTCATTTCAAAGATGAGGAGAGCGAAACAGGAAGGTGAGGAGCTTTCTGAAGTTCCTCAGCCAGTTGGCGGCAACAGGACTGCCACCTGAGTCAGCCTCACTGCGAAGTCCATACACTGTCCTACAAACCACACTCTTCCCTCTCTGCTGTGGACTGCTCTGCCTGTCACTTACTATCCCGACTGGGTGTCTGCTTTTCCGTTTTTATTTCCCTCATCTGTGAGCACAGGAAAGCGCGGTGCGTGCGTGTGTGCGTGCGTGCGTATCTTTTTACCTTTGACTCTGTTGTCGATACCGTGTGCTGTGACTCACAGTCATCTCACCTTCCCGTGTCTTCCTCCGTCACCCCCACCTTCGTTGCACCTGACAGAAGAAGCCTGTGAGGAGGAGGTACGAGCCATATGGGATGTACTCTGATGACGACGCCAACAGCGACGCCTCAAGTGTTTGCTCTGAGCGCTCATACGGCTCCAGGAACGGTGGCATTCCCCATTATCTGCGGCAGACGGAGGACGTGGCGGAAGTTCTCAACCACTGTGCCAGTTCCAACTGGTCAGAAAGGAAAGAAGGGCTCCTAGGCCTGCAGAACTTACTGAAGAGCCAAAGAACACTGAGGTGAGGACGAGGGGCCAAGGTTGTGAGCCAAATTTTAAGTCCCATATTACACTCAGCTGTGGTTGATGCAGAGTCCCTGTCATTCCTGGAGCCCTCACAGTTCCAGGCACAGAGGCAGGCACTGTGGGTGCTAAGATGACTAAGACGTGGTCTTGGCGTTCCAGAGACTTGGAAATAGTTGGCAAATGCTCTGTTAGGTTTATAAAAACATTTGGTTACCCCGCAGTTCACATTATCTGGTAGGTGTTGTTTGAGAAGTCTTGGTACAGTGTGTAAGTTAGGGAGAAAATAAAACAACTCTGCAGGTTGGTATCGCTCATTATACTTTGGAGTTGTGGGTAAAATCTTAGCAGGCTCAGCCTAAAATTTTATAACATGCATACATACGGCTTTTAAACGTGTATAGTAACGAGCTACTAAAATGGAGTACTTTTAAGTAGTACCAGTGTTATTACTAGAGTTGATTAGTTTGCTTTTTTCTTTGGATCTATATTTCACAAATTTTCTAAAATGAGCTTGTATCGCACATACTAAAAAAATATGTGTTTATATCCTATTTCATCAAATCTGAGGGACCGTTGACACACTGCTATTTTATATCCCTCTAAAAAGAAATGCTACTTATTAAACCATGGCAGTACTAGCATGTCTTTGATTATAAGATGAATCTCAAAATTACAGAGATGTGAAAATGTGAAAAATCCAGTACGTTAGAATCCCTGAAATATGGATATTATAGTCTTTGGAGAATTTTTCTTAGATAACTTGTGAGAGTGGATCAGTTTATGGTCACAGATAGGCTCTGCACAGCCAAGTGAACCTTGACTAGTGGATAGTGGATCCCTGTGCCATAAGTATGCCCGCCCGGTCCGTCGCACTCCATCCTGCCCTGTTCGTACCTGATGAATGCCTATCCCCCCCCCCACCCCGACCCCGCCGAGAGGTCTTGAGAAGTTTTGTTGTGTGCCTTCTGAAATGCACGTAGCTTCTGACACTCTAGTGAGCTGTTAGAAACAAAATGAGGATTTAAAAAAAAATGACAGTGGTTTGTTGAGATGATTATTCCTTAAGACTCTGCTTAATTCTGGTAATCCCAGTTTCTTGATTTTTTTTAGTGTTCACTGAGTATCCATTGAATAATCTCTAGAAATCTGTTGATTGGCACTGGTCTAACTAGATCTCATTATTAATAATATTAAAGGATCGGGATGCCTCGGTGGCTTGGTTGGTTAAGCATCTGCCTTTAGCTCAGGTCATGATCTCAGGGTCCTGGGATCGAGGGCTGCATCAGGCTCCCTGCTCAGCGGGAAGCCTGCTTCTCCCTCTCCGTCTGCTTGCTGTTCCCTCTGCTTGTGCGGGTGCACTCTGTCAAATAAATAAAATCTTAAAATAATGTTAAAGGGGGGGTGCCTGGGTGGCTCAGTGGGTTAAAGCCTCTGCCATCAGCTCAGGTCATGATCCCAGAGTCCTGGGATCGAGCCCCACATCGGGCTCTCTCCTCTGCAGGGAGACACCTTCCTCCTCTCTCTCTGCCTGCCTCTCTGCCTACTTGTGATCTCTGTCAAATAAATGAATAAAATCTTTAAAAAAATAAAATAAAATAATGTTAAAGGATCATCAAACCAACTGTCTCATCTGATTACTCAGGGGTGATTTGGGGAAGAGGTGATGACACTTACTCAAGCCTTAAAGGAAAAATGGAATGCAATAGTATAGCTTAGTAAGGGTCAGAAAGGCAAAAGGGCACTAACAGGAAATGAATGTTTGCTGGGTCTTAACAGTTGTAGGAATGCAGCATTCCCTCCTTTAATCCTCCCTGTGGCCATTTGTTTAATACGCATCTAAATACAACCGAGTAGTTTGTAGCAAAACTGATACTAAAATCCAGGTCTCTGCTGACTCCAAAGCGCATGCTTTTCCTACACTTTATCCCATTACCGTTAACCTGTGGCAGGTGGAAAACAGACCTCAAATGAAATGAGTGGTATTTAGCTCCAGGCTTTGCCACTGCCGTGTGTGTGAACTCTGGTAGTCACTTTCTGAGATTCTGTTGCCTCATTTTAAGTTGAGAGTCAAACTGTCATGGTTTTATATTTGTACTTAATTTCATTGTGAATTAAATAGAATGATTCATTTGTGAAAAAAGATTCGCTACATAAAAATTAGTTCTAAAAAAGCTCTTGCTAATCTCAGTGCTGACTCGTCATTAAATTCTAAGTTCATTTATTAATTTCCGTTTTATTTCTTCTAGTCGAGTAGAATTGAAAAGACTGTGTGAGATCTTCACCCGAATGTTTGCTGACCCTCACAGCAAGGTGAGTCTGGGACTCGTGCCTGCCCACCTACCCCCGCCCCCCAGCATGCCCACGTGAGCCATATAATACACTACTTAAGAGTGAGAGATAATTCCCCACAGCGCAGTATAGAGCTTACAGATTTAACACCAGTTTCTGCAGTAGTTTACGTTGTATCTTTTAAGAACGACTTTGTGGGAACTTCAGATGTCCTTAAAACATGGAGCAAAATAAGCTAAATAAAGTTTGTTTTAAGACATAATGGGGAAAAAAGAGTTAATGGAAAGATTCAGATGTAGTCATATTCAGATGCTTTTGGGTAGAATAAAACAACATATTCTAATGCAATGCCTTTTTTTTTTTAAACTTAATAGAAGTGAAGAAGATAGTCAAGTATATAATTTTTTTGTATCCCATGTAGAATTTGTCTATATAGGACAAGATAGAAAAATAGCAGCATTTATGTAATAGATTTATTGAAAAACCAGGTTAAGCTATTTCTCCAAATAGAATTTTACTGTCCTCAAGAACTTGCTAGATGGTGGCCACCTAGCTGACGTCTACGGGCCTGGGGTGCAAAGAGAGCACTGAGCCTGAGGAGGGGTCCCTGCTGGGAGGAAAACACCCCTGACTATGACCCAGACCCTTACTAGAAGTGGTGCCAAGAGAGGGACCCTTTACAGAAGCTTGCTTGCAGTCTGAATTTGAAACAAATACCGTTAGTTTTGGAGGAATCCTAGTTGGATGCTTTTAGAGAAAGAAAATGGGAGGAATGAGTTTATTGGGCAAGTTTAAAGGATGGATAAAGGACAGAAACAGAAGTACAAAAATTGGGAGAACTTTTAAGTCAGTAATAAACAAATCTCATGTGCTTGACAGTGCAGGATTTCACAATCTCAGACCAGTTTTCCTAGTAAAAATGGTCTCTTGTAAGTCTTATGGGGAGAAGGAGACCTGTCATGGCCAGCCAGTTATTGTGACCTCTGTTCCTTTCCTGCCCTGTCTTTCTTATTAGAGTCATCAGACATGTTCCATCTAGTCATTCAGCACTCACTGAGTACTCGCTCTGGGCTAGGGACACAGCAAACAACACGTTACCCCTGTTCTTTGAGATGCACATAGGAGCCTGGGAGAATGAGTTGGGGGGGGTCCCTTTTTTCTGCGGGGCGGGGGTTGGTGAGAGACTACAGTTCTCGATACTGGTCTTGGAGCATGTCTTAAAATTCCTGTGATGAACCTCACAGCAAGGTTAACATTAACACCATAAGTAGAATCCAAGAAAGGTTGAGTTCTAGGGCCACACAGATATGCAAAGTTACAATTACCATGATTTTTCTCTTAAAATAGTGTTTAAAAGCAGGAAGACTGGGGCGTCCCGGTGCCTCAGTCAGTTGAATGTCTGACTCTTGATCTCGGATTAAGTCTTGAGCACAGGGTCATGGGTTTGGGCCCTATATTGGGTCCCCCCCCTCCCACCCAAAAGGGAAGATTTTTAAGCATAAGATTCATAAGAGTTAGAGCATAAGGGATGTTAGGTATGGGGCATTGATGAAATTTCTATTACCTGTCACCTCTAGATTGCTGATTCAGAACCAGAATGTGAGGATAAAGAAGGAAATTTGTTTCCATCAGAAGGCTCTTGTACAGTGAGTTTGGAGGTCTCAGTTTAGTTAATTATTTGCTACCTGCCTTGGAGCTAAGCCAGGAATCCCATAGCAGGGGCTCATGAGTTTTTTTCCGAGCTGTCTCAAGGGAGACCCCTGGTGGTTAACAGTTGCTGTGCTACAACTGAGTAGGTGTATAATGGCTTGGTTGTCCCAGTAGAGCATGACTCATTAGCCAAGTAGGGGACACAGTGCTGCTAACCTCTCTGAAATCAGCTCGAGGATAGTCCCCTGTGGACTCTTATCTCACCTTATGCAGCATTAATGATCGCACAGCAACATGAGAATTATGTGGACTGTATCTTTTTTATTCTAAGCCATAATTTTTAATAAAGACTATAATGACTTTAATAATATCTCTTTATATTATATTACTTTATGGTATCTGAATTGGACTACCTCAAAATCTACAATGCACAAAGTTTTTTCCCTCCCTCATCTTGTAGCATTACTTGTTGAATGCTAGATAATGGACAGTTATAACGGAATTATGATGGTTAAAAAGACTTTTTTAAATTTTTTTAAGACGAAAGAAGGATGGAAGGAATAGAGGCCTCCAGGATTAAACAAATGACTTTCAGCAAAGTTAATTTCTCTCAGTACTGAATTTTGAAGGCATATTGAGGGAGGGGAGAGTATCAGTATCAGTGTATAGTCTTTTCTAGGTCTTTTAAGAAACTGCATGAAAATGGTTATTAATTCACTGTGGACTAACATGGAATTTGTTTTGTTGCATGGCCTGGTTTGCCGTGGAATTCACAACAGAGAGTAAGTTCTGATCCTTTTTCCTTTATCTATTTTTTTTTTTAATATATTTGTCTTCTCTATATGACCAGTCCATTTTTAATAAAGACTTTGGAGGAAATTATGAATTACACATATGAAACATTTGGTTTTCATTTGTGCCTAGGTTTTCAGTATGTTTTTGGAGACTCTTGTGGATTTTATAATAATTCATAAGGATGACTTGCAAGACTGGCTTTTTGTTCTTCTCACACAATTACTTAAGAAAATGGGAGCAGACTTACTTGGATCTGTGCAGGCAAAAGTTCAGAAGGCTCTAGATGTCACCAGGTAAGATTTTAGGGGCTAGGCCGTTTTTTTTCTCCAGCTTTTGAGATATAACTCAAATATTGTCATGTATATTATATTATGTATATTATATAATATTGTATCATGAGATATAACTCAAATATTGAGTACAACTCATATAATGCTGTGTAAGTTTGACATATATAAACCTGACGATTTGACAACGTGTGTATATTGCTAAATGATTATAACATTACTTAACACATCTTTCATCTCACATAATTGCCATTTTTTTGTTGTGGTGGTAATAACTTTCAGATCTATTCTCTTAGCAACTAAGAGATATGAATATGGTAAGAAATATGATACAGTATTGTTAACTGAAATCACCATTCTGTACTTTACATCCCAGAGCTTATTCATGTTGAAACTGGAAGCTTGTATCCCTTAACCAGCATCTCTCCATTTTCCCCACCCCATATGCCCTGGCAATCACCATTCTACTCTGCTTCTATGAATTTTGCTTTTGTGGGGTGGGAGGGTAGCCCAGGATTCCACGTATAAGTCAGATCATGCATTGTTTGCTTTTCTCTGTCTGGCTTATTTCACTTAGCATAATGCCCTTAGGGTCCATCCATGTTGTTACAAATGGCAGCAGTTTCTTTTTTATGACCAAATAATATTTCTTGTGTTTTTTGTGTTGTTGTTTTTTTTTTAATCCATTCTTCCGTTGACAGACACTTTGTTTTATATCTTGGCTTTTGTAAATAATGCTACCATGAGGTCAGTTATCTCTTCAAGATAGTGGTTTCATTCCCTTTGGATACACACCCAAAAGTGGAGTTACTGGACCATATGATGTTTCTGTTTTTAATTTTTGAGGAATCTGAACTGTTTTCTGTGGTGGCTGCACCAATTGACATTCTCACCCACAGTGCAGAAGGGTTACTTTTTTACCATGCCCTCGCCAACACTTGTTCTCTCTTATCTTTTTGACAATAGCTAAGGAGGTATGAGGTGATACCTCCTTGTGGTTTTGATTGGCATTCCCTCATAGTGACGTTGAGCAGTTCATGTATTTGTTGGCCATTTGGACATCATCTTCTGGAAAATGTCTCTCCACATGGGCCAGACCATGCTGATGTTACAAGACTCTCATAGGTGTTACCCATGGTTTTGTCATCTGCTTGAATAAGTACTCTCTGACACAATTTCCACATTCACTTGTTAACGTATTTGTTGAAATGTTCCTGCATTACATGAGATGAAATACCCATATCCTCGTTGCGCTGGTATGGTTTTTGTGGACACTCAAGACAAATTAAAAACAAATATTATCAAGCCTTGCAAATGGATTCCCTTCTCTTTGAAAGACATTTGAGTATTTATTTACATCCTTCTGAAGATCCTAGCCCTTTTAATACTTTAGCTTCTTACAAGTCACACTAGAAATTTTCTAGCACATGTGATGTCCCTTTTGTCCAGGTATACTCTCTCTCAGCATTCAGTAGCTTGGAGATTGCTAACACATCAGTTGTAACTCTCTGGCTGTTATGAAGAAAGAGAGAAGGTCTGCGGAGACTCAGAGACATGTGAAAAACTGTGCGTGGTCATTGTTGAGCGACCTCCAGTCAGTTATCTCTACAGTTGCAGGTCCTCAACATACAAGTATTGGAGCTTAAATGACCTCAGAAGATACTTGGCTGTAAGCTCTTCATTATGATTTGGTAGGAGATGGAGGGTCATGTGTCAGATCAGTGAATGTTTAAATGAGTAAAAAAATGACTCCAGAGCAGGTAATTACCATCAGTATGGGAGCCTTTGTACAACCCAGTTACTACCCACTGGGCGATGACTGCATATCATGGAATTTCCAAAATGGAAGGACCCTTCCTCATCTTATTAATGAGGGAACAGACTTGACCTGACTTGCCTGGGTCACACTTTGTGTTAGTGGCAGGCTGGGGGCCAGAATCCAGGACTGCTGGTTGTGGCTTCCTTGTCCATTCCTTTGACTGCAGGCTGCTCTGTGGGCAGGCGTCTTCCTCTTCTGTAGGACGGTGTGGATAGTCTTTGTGCTTTTTCTTTCCTTTCTGGCTCCCTCCGCTGCAGGAGCACATACTCACCTGCCATCATCCCTATGCATGCATCTATTAGATGTCTGTGACTGCAAACTTGGATTTGTTCTTCTGCACTCTGATGTGAGCTATTTGCTTTTGGTGCCTGACCCTGTAGATCTGTATCATCTGTGCTGCTACAGAATTTTATTATCCAAATAGATCTCTTTTGACTTTTTACTGAGCTCAGTTTAATATACTGTATTTACAGTAAGCCTTTCAAATGCCATCCCTCCCTTGGTTGAGTAAGTTTAGTGGAATTAGGGAACTTACCTACATACCAGTATATCAGTGGGTTTGTAAAGGTTCTCAGCCAGGGCGAGGCTGATCAGCTGATAATAACGGTGAAGTAGACGGGAGGGAGGGTGATGCGTGGGCCCAGTGGTATCAGACTTCTCAAGAAAGGTCAGAAATGTGGATTAATGGGGCACCTGGGTGGCTCAGTTGGTTAAGTGACTGCCTTCAGGTCAGGTCATAGTCCCGGAGTTCCAGGATCAAGTCCCCACATCAGGCTCCCGGCTCCATGGGGAGTCTGTGTCTCCCTCTGACCTTCTCCCCTCTCATGCCCTCTCTCTCTCTCAAATAAATAAAATCTTAAAAAAAAAAAAAAAAGAAATGTGCATTAAGGCAACACATTTGTGGTTTTTTGTTTTTTGTTTTGTTTTTTAATGACACTCTGAAAGCCATATAAAATATTTGTGAGCCAGACTTGGCCTAAAGGTCACTTCCTTAATGTAGATGAATTTATGAATGGCAAAACCATTCAGAGTGTTAGGGATGGCAGGACTGTTAAGATTCTACTCCTAAACTTTGGTGATTAAGGAAAACTCTCTTGTTATTTTCCTGGATGCCCCTTCCCTTTAAGAATCCTCTTCTGGGAGGCATCTGGGTGGCTCAGTGGGTTAAAGCCTCTGCCTTTTGCTCGGGTCATGATCCCAGGGTCCTGGGATCGAGCCCTGCATCCGGCTCCCTACTGGGCAGGGAACCTGCTTCCTCCTCTCTCTCTGCCTACTTGTGATCTCCGTCTGTCAAATAAATAAATAAAATCTTAAAAAAAAAAAAAAAGAATCCTCTTCTGGGTAGATTCTGTCTAAGTCTCTAGAACACCTTCATCATTCCCATTTCCCCAGCAGCCGAGATGCCTAGCTGTTTAAGCATATTTAGGATCAGTCCGTGAGTACCAGGGCGGGGGGGCAGGCAGGTTGCGTGGGTGGGGTAGGGGTCTCCATGCTGGCTGTGAGGGGTTCCTGAGGTAATAGGCTTGATTGGATCTGCCAGTTCCCTTTCCTTTGGCCGTGCCTAACCATGGGCACATTTCCTGGTGAAACACACCAGTTTATACTTCAGCGGATTCTCCATTCTCCCCTTGCCGCAGAAAAAAAGAGAGGCGTTTTGTGTGTGCTTTGTCAGCCTCGTATCCTTAATTTATAGGCAGTATGAGTCAGAGAGTCCAAAGAAAGCAGTGCATTCACTCAGCCCCCATTGTAATAGAAGTTTGCTTTATACAGTCTTTCCTGTTAGTGTGGAAGATGTGTCTGCGTTTTCCCACATAGACACCATTTCTGCACTTTTAAACTAATACTAATAATTGCAGTACTGGAGAGAGCATAGACTTTCGCGAGCCAGGAGTCCTCAGGGTTCTCAAATGTGTCGAAGATGTGAAGCGGCTACCAGAAGTGAGCTTAGGAACCGACCAGAAGTGGAGCAGGAGAGGGGCTTCCGCAGGCCCTGGCTTCCGCATACGTATTGTAGCTGGATGGGGAGTTCGTTCCCTTGCTGGGTCTCCCACAGGCACTCCGCTGTGGGGACCCCACAGAACAGAGACCATAAGCAGTTGCCCAGTGGGACCAAGGAGGACAGTGTGATGAGCCTTAGCAAGGCCAGTGGTAAGGTGCTCACTCAGGATGCAGATCCAGATTTGGGGATTGGAGGTGGTTATCACGAAGCAATATTCAGAAAGGTGGCCAGAGAGAAGACGAGCAGATCCCTTAGAGGGCAGGTAGGAATCTCTTCCTTAGTTTATTGCTTGGGCTTAATTTTCAAAATAGCATAACTCAAAGTGAGCATAGTGTGTGTCTGGGGACTTTCAGCAAGAGTTTTCTTTTTCTGAATTTTCCATATAATGTGTATTACTGTAGTATTTCTATAAAATGAAAAGTACAGTTAGTAAACTTAGTCAACTAAGGTCAAGCTTGCTTTTATATAAATTAGACTCATCTCTAATGGTATATTTTCATTACTGATGCGGTTTTGCATTACTTTTTGTAATAGATCTTTCTTTAAAACTGAGCACTTTTTTTTTCTTCTCTTAAACCTAGGGACTCCTTTCCGTTTGATCAACAGTTTAACATTTTGATGAGATTTATTGTGGATCAAACTCAAACTCCTAACCTCAAGGTTGGTAACTATTTGTGATTACAGTTCAACCTCTAGAAGTCAAATTTGCTTAAAATGTACTTTTTTGTTTTTGACTCCTATTTGGCTGTTACGAATAAATCTGTCATGAGCATCCTTGTACAACTATTTGGGAATGTGTTTCCATTTCTCTTGGTTGAGTACCTAGGAATAAAGTTGTTGGGTTATTGGGTAGGGACATGTTTATCTTAAACTGTGAAAATGGTTGTACTATATTATATTCCTACCAGCAGTATAATCGGAGCACCAGCTATTCCACATCCTACCAACATTTGGGTATTATTGTTTTTCACAGGTTTTAAATTAGAAAGCTCTGATGTGTTGAAATAAGGTATCTTACTAGAATGTTTTCAATATTAACATCCTAACACATGAAAATTAATTGTTAGATATTTTGGGAAATCATCACTGTAACGAGACTGAATTTGAGAGAGGGTTTGTCTTGGTTTGAATGAGATCATGTAAATCATCTGTTCTTTAATCATTAACTTTTGTGGGGGTTTTAGGATAGGCCCAGTGAATGATAACCCTCTTCTCCAAAGGTACAAACCCACTGAAGCATCAGTGGAGAAGTTAGGGCAGAATATCAGCTTGATCGCTGAAAATGCTCCCTTGTAAGACATGGCCAAGGATGTGTAAAACACAAAGCTAAATGCTTCCCGGTCATTGGCAGAGCTGGAAATCCCGCAGCCTGCCTGCGGGGGCTCATGCCTTGCAGGTGTCTTGCTGTATAGGGGAGGAGCAGAGCGTGCCTTCAGTCTAAAACTGAAGAGGATTGACCTGTACAGCACTCGCCCTTTTTGCAAACTTACCTGTCAATCATTTCATGCTTTCATCCCTGGTGGACACTGCTCCCTGGGGGAACATAAATCCAGGAGAAAGAAGGTATCCCCTCAAGAGTATTTATTTTTCTTTGATCAAAATTCAGTTCGGAATTCTATTCAAAGGTTCATAAAGTGTGCTTAATGTTTGTAATTATTGGATCTTTCAGGTCAAAGTTGCAATCCTGAAGTACATTGAGTCCCTCGCTCGGCAGATGGATCCAACAGATTTTGTAAACTCTAGTGAGACGAGGCTTGCTGTTTCTAGAATTATAACCTGGACGACAGAACCAAAGAGTTCAGACGTGAGAAAGGTATGTCCAAGAGAGCTCAAAGTGCAGCTTTAAATACAGACTGTTCTTAGGCATGTGTTAGGAAAAGAAGTGTACCTAGAAACTTGCAAACCACCCCACATACTTACACAGGAATCCTCTCTCACTTCTTTTCTGTGAAAACCAGACTTTGCTCTTGCTCTTATCTCCTCTCTCCAGTTCCACCTCCTCCCAGGCTTCTGACATCAAAATGAAAATCATAAATCCTGTATGATGGGTTCATGCTTTCCGTAGACATCAATTTTGTCCTTTTCATATGTGAAAGCACTAGTAGTTCAGTGTATCATAAGGCCATTGGTTTTCCATATATCAGTTTCAAGACGTGGACTTTGAGGACAGACTTGAAAAATCTAAGGCTGCCTGTTCTTACAGCAAAATGTGGCTAAAATTTCGCTAGGATATGAATTCCTGAGTTTAAAAAGAACAAACAACTTGGGATTATGTACCACTTTTGGAACACCCTGTCTTTGACATGGGAGGGGCTGAATGAATGAGGAGGTAGAATTCAGATTTTGGAGCCCCCTGGACACCAAAGTGTTGTTTTGTTTGATTTGTTTTATCAGGAGAAGAGAAGTATTGGCTACTTTCTTCAGAAGTGACACATGGAAGGGTGTACAGTGAAGTAATGTCATAGTACACAGGGACATATAATAGTACACAGAGTACCATTTCTCTTACTAGGTAGTACTCACCTCAGAACCCTTACAGAGATTAATTATTACATGTGAAACATTTTGTCAATTCCTGACAAGTTGTCAGCACACAGCAAGTGTAAGTTCCTGTGTCTGTTTCTCTTCCTCTTTGCCTGTCCATGTCCTTGTGTGCTCGAGTTGCACATGCAGCCATCATTCTTTTATTTTATTTGGAAACCGAGTAGCCTTTGTAAAGTACTCTTTAAAAGCCAGCTTCCTCAGTTCTGCTTTCATACTGAAAGTACTTGACTTTGGTTCTATGTGTATAATCACAAGCCTTGCTTTGTTTCTTCTGTGCCATACTCCTTCCATATTTAGCCTGATCAGTGGAGTCCTTTGGCCTTGAGCAGAGTTGATTATGTGGACCACATGGGTCCAGGCAGGGAAAAAGGAAAGGAGGATTCCAAGCAACAGCTAGCAGGAGTGGTGTTTTTCCAAATGCAGATAACACTTATCTCCTCCTTTAATGGAATCCAAAGACAACAGAAGAATTCTCTGAAAGGTTTCTTTGGAAGGGTGACAGGTCATGTAAGTCCTATGTCCACTGTATATAAATAAACAAGGTTGTCCAAGGTCAAAGGAAATCTTATTCAAGCACTCATTCAGAATTATCCTCAAAAGAGCATTTCACTGGCAACCTTTAATTTAGCCATTAAGCCAGTGTTGGATTAGGGAGGAACAGTAGGAGGTGGTTGAATGATTTGGTTGGTATATAAGTCACAAACAGATACTTCTGTTGCAATTTTCACAATCACAGGATAGGCCAATAAATACAAAAGCCTTCAGGACAGCTTTCTATCTTTAGTCATAACACATAAGTGTGTGTGTGTGTATGCGTGTGTGTATGCGTGTTCCTTTTGTAACTGAATGTTACTTAAATATTCCCTCCTGCAGCGCTGAAACATACTCTAGACTTACACATTACCATGATTAGGGCCTTTGTGGGAGCATCACTTGCTTCATAATGTCCATTTTCTCAGGACATGCACATTAGAAATTTGAACTAGAATTTATTTTCCTAACTTTTCTAAACAGGCTGATAGAGGAACTTTTTTCCTTGAGTTACTTAGCATTGGACTCCAATACACTCACCTTATTTTAATACTAGCTTAAGTCAGATATGGTTAAGATACTAAATTTATTGCCAGAAATCACATGGTTCATTTATTGTTTGATCTTCAACACTTAACTTCAGTCATTTTGGATCATATAGTGCTACTTCATAAAGCCTGGTCTCCATTGGTACTCCACGTCTGTTGCCTGCTCTTACTTCTTCCCTTTTCCCAGCTTGAGGACTGCTTAACACCTCACCTTCAGACTGAGTTCAAACCCAGGTTCTGGGACAGTAATCCTCTTCAGAAAATTTGGACAGATTTATTATATCAATAGTTCTCAGGCCTGGCCGCAGTTGAAATCAACCTCAATTCCTGGGCTCTCCTTCAGGTGTTTTAACTTAATTGATATAAAATATGGACGGTGTTTTGGGTCTCACCCAAAACACTTGGCTGATTTTTAAGGCACAGAGTTGAGAATCCATTGTTTGAGACAACTGCCCTGGGGTTGAACTTCAAGACATACAGACTGTCAGTGTCGTGTGACCCGGTTGCCACTAATTCTCTGGGTTCCAGCCTACATGTTTAGGATCTTCAGGCCTAGGGCTGGACTTGCTGCTCCCAGTGCCTTCCTCACCTTCCTGTTTCACTCACCCTCTATACTCACTCTGCACCGAGCATAATGCCGTTGGGACAGAGTAGACACTTAATAAATATTTTCAGTGAATTAATGAATGATAAATGTCCAAAGAGAAGTGATCTTATTTTAAGTAGCACATTGAAGCCATCATTTTCAAAACCACAGTGTTGGAGGCCCCTGTTTTGACCTCTGGTATTAGTCTTCTTTCGGAAACCAAATCAACACAGACATAGTAGCTTGAAACTACACACATTTATTATGTTGTAATTTCTGTGAGTTGGGAATCTGGTACATGGTCTCTGGGTCCTCTGCTTAAGGTCTCAACACATGGAAATCAAGATGTTGCCTGGGTTTTGGGTCTCATATGAGACCTGGTCTCTGGCTGCCTGCTGCTTGGCCGAATTCTGATCCTTACAGGAGTGGGGCCCAGGTGCCTGTTTTCTTGCAAACTGCCAGCAGGGGTGTTCTCAGCTCACAGAAGTTACCTGACACCCACTGCCTGCCACATGGTCCTCTCCCAGTGTGGCAGTTTGCTTTTTCAAAGCCAGCAGGAAAATATTTGGGAAAAAATATTCCCCAGACTTCCAAGATTTGATGAAAAAACCTTAATCTACGCATCTGAGAATATTAATTTTCTGCCAACAATACTTGGAGAGTTTGCAGTGTAATTCATTCTATATAGTCTTATTTGGGAAAGTACTTTAAACTGATAGAACTCTTGATTTATTATTAACATTTTTAATATTTGTTTCCCTTTTCATCTCAGCATTTTGGGGTGTTTGATGTTGGAGAGAGTGGGGTGTTTAAATATTTAAGATGTTTTGAAGAGGAGGGGAGAGGCACAGCCAAAATCAGAACACAAGCCAGTCAGCAGTGGAGTGTGCCTAGGCCCAAACTAATGGGTTTTTTTCCAGTTTCCTAGCAGGAAAAGTGCCTTCCCCCACCCCCACCGGCTGCTTTATTCCCAAAGTAACGTTCGTGTTACGGAATGGTAGCCCTGAAAGTTGTGTTAGCCATGCCATACCTTTCTAGGCACTGTGTTGATGTTAAGGTAATATAACGTGGGGCTTCTGGGTGGCTCAGTTAAGTGTCCGACTCTTGATTTAGGTTCAGGTTGTGATTTCAGTATGAGATTGAGCCCCACGTTGGGCTCCCTGCCAGGTGCAGAGTCTGCTTGTCTCAAATGTCTCAAATGTCTCTCCCTCTCCCTCTCTCAGATAAACAATAAATCTTTAAAAAAAAAAAAAAAGATAACGTATTGACAGTAGGAAGTAGATTCTAGAGTTTGACCTTTGTTTGACTTTTGCCTCTGCCAGTCATTGGTGTGAGCCTGCATGGTAACCTCTTAATTCTCTTTGTTCTCAAAAAATGGGAATGCTAATCCCCGTCTCAGGCTTCATTGCAAGGACTAATAATTTCAGTAGAGAAAAGCATAAACATTACTTCGTTTACTTTGTGGCCCCTGCTCTGTTTGTTCAAAGGTTGTTTCAGTTTTGCTGCTGCTATTTGTGGAACAAATGGAGAACCCAGTTTTTTCCAGCGTTAGAAAGATTTTTTTTCCCCCATCAACCAAAGGGAATGTGATAATGCAGTAGAATTTTTAATGGTATGTTTATATTTCAAGATTCAGAATCCTTGTGGGTTTGCTTTATCATATATGATCCTCTGGCATTTAGCACCTACTTTGTCAGAGAAGATAGTAGATACAGCTCTCAAATGTCGTTTTGAGAAACATGGTGATTGAAAGCATGGCAAAAAAAACCTAGAAAGTATAAAGATGCTGTTGAGTAGAACAGGAAGACGATAGAAGCCTTTGAAGTTGAAATTTCTAACTGAAAAAAATTTTTAATTTTATTTTTAAGAGAGAGGGAATGAGAGAGGTGGGGGGGTGTGGCAGAGAGAGAGTATCTTATGGCCCTGAGATCATGACCTGAGCCGAAAACAAGGGTCGGATGACGCTTAACCGACTCTGCCACCCAGTCGCCCCTCTAACTGAAAAATGTTCAAGTCTGATTGTAGGTAGGCAGTGTGGCCTAGCCACAAAGCTCAGGGTTTTCCCATCAAACAGGATTTGAGTCTCCACTTAACTGTGCCTGGCTCTTTCAAGAAACGAGTTGACCTTTTGGATCTCATTTGGACCCTCCTGTTACAGAAGGCAAGAGTGCTGCTGGTGCTGGTGAGGATTGTGATTATTACACATCTAGGAAATGACAGAGGTTCGAAACTGGTGAATTACTGTTGTTATTCTGCCTGTTCTTAGCTGTTAGATCATAGAGACCTCAGCGATTCTGTAAAAGATGCCAAATAATGTTCACAGCTTACAGGTAACCCTGGTTTAAGCCCTTGCTTCTTCTCTCACTAAATCCTGCCGCCATTCCTGTTTGTCAGTCCCCGCTCCAGCGTAGTCGCGTAGGTGAGGATTTCCCCACTAGGTCAGCTGCTGCCTGCTCTGGGCCTGGAGAAGGAAACTTGGAAGAAAATTGTAAACAGGTAGATTTTAAACTATGTACTAATTTGAAAAAAGACACTTCACTGTTTGCATTTCAGTTGATTAATACTGATTACTCTTGTCAAGACACTGAAAGGATTTTGAAGAAACCTAAAGTTCCTATAATACTATGTGAGCATGTGTGTGTGTGTGTGTGTGTGTGTGTGTGTGTGTGTAAATGCGTTTTAACGTGTTTTGTGATTAACCGCCTGCCCAAAGCCTGTACACTCACGGAGTGTACATGTCTACCCTATTTTAGCAGAGTGGTGAAGGAGAGATACTCAGTAAGAAATGTTTGAAGGTTTTGAGGTACCCTTTGATGATTTTCTAAAGCAGTTCTGATGACAGTCTGGAGGAGCAGTAGTTGTTTCACAAATTAGAAAGCTGCTTCTCCTCCCCAAGTTTAAGTTTTCCTCCATTAATACCAGTGCAGAGCATTTGTCAAAGGTTTATTGATCTCCTGTCTCAACAGAATTCTTTCCTGCTCTCAAGGCAGTTGATTGCCCTTGGAATTCTTCCACACAGTGGAAGAGTCAAAGGACCTTTTGCCCTCATCTGCCAAATTCTCCTGTAGGGCCATGAGTGGGGATCATGTCCTTGTAAGTTGCTATTTGATCTTGGAAGCCAGTGACCCTTGAGTTGTCCGTGAGAAAAAGTCAGCAGCGACCTTGAGTGTTTTCTCTGGCCGCTTACCGGCCCCGCCTCTTGTGAAAGGCAGGAGTTCAGTGATGGGACGAGAACAGTGGCATACTCTACTCTTTGATTCGTTATTGCCCATGAGCTATGCTCCAAGCTTTTTTAAACTAATATCTCCCAACTCGGCCCTGTATTTGGAATTATTACCTTAAAAAAGGGTGTATTGATGGTAATGATAACCCAGTTCTCTTCCTTGCTTGGATTCTAGTAGTCCGACTTCTCACTAACACAGAGGGTCGTAGATAAAAATATTTCAGGACTGTAACAGTCTCGTTCCTTTTAAAACTGTGATATAAAATATTTTTTTAAAGATTTTATATATTTGACAGAGAGAGAAAGAGATCACAAGCAGGCAGAGAGGCAGGCAGATGGGGGTGGGGGGGAAGCAGGCTCCCTGCTGAGCAGAGAGCCCAGTGTGGGGCTTGATCCCAGGACCCTGAGATCATGACCTGAGCCGAAGGCAGAGGCTTAACCCACTGAGCCACCCAGGCGCCCTGACGTAAAATATTTTTTAAAAGAACATATTTCAGTCATACTTTATATCCATTTCTGGAGCTTGGATGTCATTAGAAAAGGTTTTACATTGAAAACAGTGTTAAAATCAAAGGGTGACTTTTGAAGACTGTATAAAATCTTTTGTATTTTGGAAAATGTAAAAATAAATTATATTCATTTATATGTATTAAGTCACAGCAAATGTGCCATCTTTCCAACTAGCTATATTTTCAAAATTCCCTGTCTTTCTGATCGATTTTTTATCAAAATTCAACATTAAGGTCATTGAAAGAGAAGTTTCTTTAGTGGGCCAGAAGTTAAAGTCTGCTGCACTTCTTTTCCCGTGTGACTAAGAGTCATTAATAGCACGTAGCCATGAATTAGCACAATTTCTAGGCAGCCCTCTTGTTCCTAAAAGATCCCACTAATTTTATAATTTGCTTCATGAAAAACCTCAAGTTTTAATTTGTGGTTTTAGATATCCTGTCATTCTGGGAAGAAATGTGGTTTTCTAAGTAAAGACAGTGGCACATTTCACATAAAAATATACTATTCAGAACTATACTGAAACATTATATAATTTTCAAATGTCATCGTCAATCATTAAAAAAGAAGTCCCTAAACTTTCTTACTAAATTGGGAACATTTTTTCTCCCTGCTAAAACTCAAGTCTGTTTCTTTCTGTCTCTTTGAAGTGCAGTTTTTCCTGTGTGCATTTTTCCCCTAACATCTAATAAAATGCTTTTTTAAATGCACAGATTACCTTGCATGCATTTTGGAATTTGCTTCTCTGCAAATATACAGATCATGTTAATATATATTACATTGGTGGTGAAGTAGATTCCTTCAGATAACTTAAAAATGTTTCAATAATGAAATGTAAAAATGTATATTTTAACACCATCAGTAACAATGTGTCTTGCCTCTGTCATGAAAGCACACAGGCCCCTTGGGATTTAAATTGGTTGGAAAGGCTACTGATGACTATACTTGGAGGTCAAGGGGAAAAAGGAGGATACTTTTGCCCAATGCTATGCTTAATAAATGCGTTTGATATGTCTAAAAAGTAGTTTTTGATGCCGTAAAAAATACTCTTCTGATATTTTAAAGTTCATGATTAATTTTTATTTTTGGTTAAATACATTTGAGTCTCTGGATTTTCTTTTTTTTTCCTTCTCCAGACAAAAATAATAGTTTTGCCTTACCTGGATCCAGAATTAACTTTAACATTGTGAAAGCATTGAAATATTTTGTGGTGTTTGTTTCCAGAGCGTTTCTAAGTGAATATATCTTTTGTAATACCTTATATCATGGGAAAAAAAATACTCAGAATAATTACTGCAATCCTAAAATAAGAGTGTTGTGGACAGATAAATGTATCCTTTCAGTCAGGAGATGTTCATAATGTGTTTTTCTTCCTTCTGACTCTCAGAAATTTGTAAGAAATGCCATTATTTACTGACGTTTTCTCTGGCATGGTTTTTCTAAATCAAAACCCTTGGAACTGAGTCCTCAGGCATTTTTTTTTTTTAATCTCAGAGTGCCTGCTGCTGTTTAGTACCACAGAAAGCCCATAACTGGCTGGAGAAACCCGAGTCTCATTGGGCTACTGTCGCTTCAGCTAACTGCTTTCCCTTCCCGCTGCCTCCTGGACCACCAGCAGTCCTGCAATATATTGTCTCAATTAATAAAGAGAAGTAGAGCATTTCCCAAAAGGAGAGTACTTTTTCATTTGTAGAGTAGAAGTCTGGTTTGCTTCCCATGGACCGTCTCCTTACTTCATAGGTCTAATAGTAGGAGTTTTTTGGATGTATTATTTAAACTCTTTTTCTAAAATGTCTCAGTCCCTCGGAGCGGGCTTGAGGAAAAGTGGCTGCTCAGATAACCCCTTGGCAGCTCTTAGAGAGCCTTCTTCTCCCAGGACGCACTGGGAGCCCCATCCGTCCAGTTCTTAGAGTGAACCATCATCAGCCTTTTCACGCTCTTGAATTGTTTCATTTATGGATTTACCAGCTTTGTGCCTAGTGCTGGACGACACAGGAAGAGTCATTTATTACGGGCATGTTGTGAAAACCCAGGGCCAGGGTGTGAAGATGAAACTGGGGCCTATTTTCCAGATTGAAATCAGGCTATTTATAATTGATGGTCTTATTTTCTCCAGATGCCTTTTGTTTGTGTTTTTTATGACAAAGGTGTCCTCTTTGTTTTGTTTTGTTTTTTTCATTTATTTTACTCAACAAAACATTTTTGTAAAATAATTTTAATGAAAGTTTTGACCAAAATATGCTATTGTCTGTTACATAAATTAATCAAGCGTTCTTTTTCCAGGCAGCACAAATTGTGCTGATCTCTCTGTTTGAATTGAACACTCCTGAATTTACCATGTTACTTGGTGCCTTGCCAAAAACATTCCAGGATGGTGCCACCAAACTCCTGCATAACCACCTCAAGAACGCTAGTAACACCAGTGTGGTGAGTGCTCGGTCACAGTTGGTACCTCTCTACCGATCATGACCTCTGCTAATCCCTGGTCTGGACATGCCCTGAGAAAAGGACCAGCTTTCTTGTTCTCTTTTAGTAGACTTTGGGCATCTGGAGGGTGGGGGCTGTGTCTGATACTGCAGCGTTCCCAGGGAATGAATGAACTTAGTATTTAAATATGGCTTTTTTCTTACGTGAGGTTCTTTAATCAGTTAATTTTTACTTGGTCACTTACTCCTTTATTCATTAGTTACTTTCTTTGTATGTAAATTACATACAATTACTTTCTTTGTATGTAAAGGTGGAAGTTCTCGGTTTGTGTCTGTCACTCTAGCACAGCTGACATCAGTCATTCAGCTTCAGAAACCCCTATGTGACAGCCATTTTGGGTGTATTTGCACTTAAAGTTGGCCTTAATGATTCCTAAAAAAAAAAAAAAAGTCACCCCAATTGTTCCACCTTTGCCCTTTTATTTACATGTGGGTTAAAAAGCTAAGGGGGGTACACCCGGGTGGCACAGACAGTTGAGCATCTGACTGGGTTTCATTCAGGTCGTGATGTAATGGTCATGAGTCGGCTTGGGATTCTCTTTCCCTCTCCCTCTGCCCCTCCTGCTCATGTTCTTGCTCTCCCTCTCGAAAATCAATCAATCAATCAATCAGTCTTTAAAAAAAAAAAAAAAAAAAAAGGAAGAAGAAAAGAAAACCTAAGGGAAAGGGGGCGCTATAAGCTGTGTTTAGCTCTCAAATAAATGATGCTTATTCTTCTTCACACCAGGGCTCTCCGAGCAATACAATTGGCCGAACTCCCTCCCGACACACCAGCAGCAGGACCAGCCCCCTGACCTCACCCACCAACTGTTCCCATGGGGGCCTATCTCCCAGGTAATGCCATTTCAACAAAAGTGAAGAAACCAAAGCACCCAAGTGTCTGTCCAGCCTATTTCTAGGATTTTAGACCAAGCTTAATACCGAAAAATGGATGGGTATTAGGAGACCATAGGTTCTGGTCCTCACCCAGATCTTAACTGTGTACGGCAAAATGGCCAATTTGTGCTGAATGTTCTCAGAGATTGTTCCGGCTCTGAGCACTCCCTAGTATCTTAAAATTTTAAAGCTATATTTACATTTATTACTGTTGCATATACAAACCATTTAGAAATTCATCACCTATTCTGTAAGTGCTAGGAACACCTGAAGGTATTTGTCGTCTAAATAAAATAGTCCACACATAGCCTGGGGTAGTTCTCCAACCAAGCAGCTGTTCCAAGCATAGTTGCCGTCATGGGCTCACGTTTGAAGCAGACTGCTGCTCCGGAGAGGTATTAAGAACCTGAGAGCTAAAATTGGATCAGCACTTTCAGACTTCCATGGGGACCATGTAAACACTGGTTTATAGAGTCTGAGACAGTGACTTAAAATAACAAAAATGCTTTATCTCGGAATCTTTAGACTTCCCCATCTGCCCACAGCCCTTGGAAGTCTCCGCAGGTGACCCCCTGGCATGTTTTGGGGTGGCCTCACATAGAGTAGTGGCCCTAGAGGCCAGACTTCTTAGTCCCTGGACCTGTGAGGGTGATACATGCTATGTTTGTTTACCAGAAGTCCAGAGCTTTGCGATTCCTGGCTACAGGGATCAAGCGGCTGTGTCTTAAGGGTTGTTGATACCAAGATGATAAGAAAATATAAATGCCTTTAAATTTATTTTAGATTTTTTAAATGATCAAGAGTTTCCCCAAATCATCCATTCTTACCAATAAAGTTCTCTTCAGTTCTTTAAATTATCCTATAAATATTTGGAACATGTCAAATTTGTGTTTTTCTATTGGTAAAACAAAATATGTTGTATACTTACAGTATGCTACTGCTTATATTGCCTTATTTCTAGTCCTCCTAAATCCCATTGGTACTATATATTTGGATAGAATGATGTCACGTCTCCAAGTTTGGTCTGTGTTGTCATGAGGCTGTTAGCAGGCTATTATAATTAGATAGTTGAGATCAGGAGCCAATGAAAAATAGGTGTGACTGAGGCTCAATGAACTATTGTTTTTCGTGTTAATAACTGTATCTAAAGTATATACTTTATAGGGTCCAATGTTAACAGTAAAATCAGAGTTCTCTTTCTTGGGGTGGAGGGCAGGGGAAGGATTTTGTGGAAAACTTGAACGCTCTGTAAATAGTTGCTTTTGTCTAGAAGTAATACTTCTGCACCATTAATTGAGAAATCTACTCTTCCATAATATACAGTTTGTACTTCTTATCTTTTGGTTATTTCATTATTAGGGTGGCACATTCCTTAGGTAATAAGCAAAAGGTAAAACTCAAGACTTTTATTGCTCTCTGTGCTGCTAGTCTAAGGAAAAGACTGGTGGAGACCACTAGCATAATCCATCAGTGCTAAGAATTGGCTCAGTATTAATCTTCACTTGATCCCCAGATTATTAAAAAATTTATTTTTCCAATCACCATTTATTTTTAGTTGGTCTGGTCTTTTACTGTCAGGGTTACTGGACAGTGGAAGAAATGAAGAGGTTTATTTTTAATATTAATACCATTTTCAAGAATAAGGCCAAGTGTGACCTGTTTTCTTGCCAACAAATTTGGCTTTAGGGAATTATTTAATTTTATGGTCTCTCTATTTTTTAAAACGAATGTGCCCGCAGGGCATATCTACCCAAATGGCCTTAGTCAACAACTTAATTAAACTCAGGAGAAGTGATTTTTCTCACAACTAAAACCATCCAGAAGTAGGAAGAATTGCCTCCTGTCATTATATCAATGGGAGTATTCAAGTAGGCCACATACTTTCACCAGGAAAGTTATAAAAGCTATGAACTCTGGTACTAGATAGGAGAATGGAGTAGGTTACTACCCTATTCCTGAGGAGATGATAGACAAGTGCCACCAGGTATAATCTCAGAGGTTTTTCACAGCAGTGCTCTTGAAGCATTTACATTCTGTGAGCTGTCATTCTTTCAAATCATCTTAAACATATGTTAATTTTTTATTCTTAAGGGGAAATGTTGTTACCAGTTGTTTGTTTTCAATCTAATTTTTTTGTATCAAAACGAACTAGGGTTTTTATAGTCCAGAAACTCTACACTCAGATTGTGGTGTGTTAATAAGGAAATATTCTAAAATGATAAGCAAATCTAATTTGATAGTAGAAAAGAACCCTAGGGAGAAAGTTGTTTTTATCAACCCAATAACCTTAAGAGAAAATCATAGCATGTTAAACCTTTGTAGAACATCCCATTAATTGCTTTGTGTGTGTGTGAGGGAAGAATTACTCCTTATTCCCAGCTAGTAAACAAATACTACTGGGTATTTAGAGAGGAGATTTGTAACCTGGAGTTTTTCATCATTGAACACATATATGTATTTTTTAGCTCATTTTACCCAGTGTGATTTGTGTTCATAAATGAAACACAGAGTTGCAAGGGGCTTCAGAAATCACATGATGTCCATTCCCTTTGAGATCAGAAAGTAGACAATTCTCGCCCCCATCTGCTGTGCATTCTTGGCAAATGTTGTAGAGCAGAATGACACTAAATAGATCACCTGTTCCCCCTAGTAATAAAGGGTGATTTTAGGTGGATTTTACAATCCATTGCATTGGAGGGTCAAGATTTTCCATAGAAAAGAAGTGGGGATTAACTGGGAGATCAGCCTCCCATCAGCAGTGGGAGATGGTGGTACATCTGTTTATGCTACCGTCAGCAGAGCTCCAGCCTAGATGGCTGCCCGATTACCTCCCGTTACCTCACCCCAACTCAGTGTGGGACTCAGAGAAGGTCTGTGGGCCCTTGGATGCCGTGGTGACCTCTCGTCTCCACACTTACTGACCTCACAAGAAGAGACCACAGCTGTCTTTGGCAGAGACAAGCTCATGGGACCAGGATGATGGCTGGCCTCAGGTAGTGCTGCTCCCTGAGAATGTGGTCTCTGATGCCACGACTCCACCCCAGGCCTTAGGTCACATTTCCTGCCCAGTTGGCTCACGCCTCTTGCAGTGGCTGTGGCCCTTCTGAATTGTAGCAGCTGTTAGAAGTGTCTGCCCGGGTCTCTGCAGGCCCAGGCTTCTCAGTGACATTTATGGAGTGAGGAGGAATGCTGGTGTTCTCAGATGAGTTTTATTTCTCATATTAGGTGATGTGAGCAGGGAATTGGGGCTTTTTGGAGACCTGGCACTCTAGCCCTCTGGTGGGCTTTTTCATAAGGAAATTGCCCGTGGCAGCCTCTGATCGGGTCCTGGCCTCAGGGAGCACATCATCCCCTGCTTCAGGGCTGTGGTCAGAAAGGCATGTTCTCTGAGTCTCCCTGCTGTTGTCCCTTGGATCCCGTTGGAATTCAGGCCTGATGTTCCTTCTTTGGCTCTTTGTAAAACAATTGATTGCATTATCTGAGACAGAAGAGTCATGCATATTTGTATGGAAGTACTTGTGGTATCCTTCCCAGTGTGGAAACACACAAACACACACTCACACACTCTTACACTTAGAATCTCATGATTTAAAAATGTAGCACATGATTGAGACGGGAAGGAATAATGCAGCCTTATTGAGGGCCAAACTGTAAAACAAACTTTGTGCATTTTCTCTGTATGGTGAAGTATAAATTTTGCTCCAGTCAGCTTTGACAGAGCTTGGTCAAGGAAAGAGGAGATTGGAAGACACATTGGACGTTGCGTCTCCCAGTCCCCTCCTATCTCCCCTCCCCGTTGCCTTGTTATGTCTCTCTCTGACTCTCCTCTTCTGATCACTGCAGTCGGTTGTGGGGTTGGAGTGCCGATGGCCTATCGAAGCACCCACCTCCCTTTTCTCAGCCCAACTCCATTCCCACCGCTCCCTCCCACAAGACTCTCAGGCGCTCTTACTCTCCCAGGTAACAAGCTACCTGTTTACCTTGTCTGAGGTGTCACAATATTATTGCATTTCCAGGGTCGTCTCAGGTCTTCCGAAAGCCTTTGGCTTAGATGAGCAGGAGTAGAGCCTTGGTGAGAAGTGTGAGCAGGTGCATGAGCTCTGTCGACCTGCATGAGTACGGCTCCTGCTGTGTCACAGGGACAGATGACCATTTCACCAGCTGCCCAAATCCAGCGGCACCTACTGTAGCAGGCCCAGGCAGAGCGGAGCCCCCACAAAGGCGCTGGGGCAATGCCCTGAAGTCAAGGCAGGCCAGAGGGGCACGGTTTCCTTCGTGTTCTTCTCAGGAGGACAAGGCATACCCGCTGAGAAGCAAATGAGACCTGCTCTTTCCCAGACCATATGTGTTGCATTCAGTCCTGCTGTTGATGATGTGGACTGATTTCTTGCATGATGTACTGCCGTGTGGCAAGAGTCGGAGGACACAGATCCTGAAGGGAGGCCCAAGAAGTGCATTCACTGCTGCGTCTCATTGACGAGCCCTGCCTCTAGGCAGGAGAGCAGTCGGTATTCTCACAAGCCCCTGGTTGTAGGTGATGAGGTTAATGAGTCTAGAAGGGCTGGGAGAGTGCTCGCTTCGGCAGCACATAGACTAAAATTGGAAGGATACAGAGTAGAAGGGGTGGGAGTTCCTTCAGATTTAAAACAGATGGCAAATCGGTGGGACAAAGTACGGGCCACGGATTTCTACAGATAGCTGTTTGAGGGTCCCTTAGGCGATACTACGAAGGTCTAAAGGTCCAAGGCCCCCTTCCCTAGCAGGCTGCCATCGCATGAGCAGAGCATGGGGCAGGCCAGCTGTCTTTGTGCTGTGTAAGAGGAGTTTGTACCTGCTGATAGGTGAGAGTAAAAACAGAACTGGAAAAGGTCTGTTAATTCTGAATGCCTCATAGATCGCTTTTGCACAGATTTACATTTCTACTTTGGTGTCCTCAGCTCAGCGAAGCTGTGTGTTATCAACAGAGTCAGCCACGTGTTTTAACATCTTTCTTTCGAAACTCTTAGAGCTTTAAAAGTAGCTTCTCAAGTGTACAGAGAATCCTGTAATGACTGTTTCTAGATACACAAGGTTAGGGAAAGGACACAGCAACAATGTGACAGCTGCTATCGTCAATGTTAATAAAGCAAACTTTTTTTCTTAAGGTTAGCCATGCTTCAAAGTAGAAGTCCCATTTATTGACTGTGTTCCAGTACACTGACCTGTGTGCATGCCCTAACGGGCACAAAGCCTCACTGCCAGCCACTCTTTCCCATCCAGCCATCAAGATCCCCTTCTGGTGGGCACCTCATTTCCAGAATCCTCTTTCACACATGCACTATAACACTGCTGATGCTAATAAGTACCTATGACTTCTCTTGACCATTGGAGGGAAAGAACATTGACAGAGACTTTTACATTTAGAAAAACCCATCAGTTACCTACAAATAAGAGGAAATCTTTGTCTCTTTTGCTTTCTGCCAAAACCGTATTGATTGCCTAACAAGGAACGAATATATATCCTAATTCTGTTTCTGGTATCTTTTCCCTATGAAATGACAAAGAGGAAAATCTCAGAAGGCAAACTTCCTGTCTCGACTGTCTCCATTCTTGGAGAGCTGACCTCATGCACCTCCCCAACCACGATATGGACCCATTACAACAGGGCAAGTGCAGAGCTCTGTTCTGCCTCAGTATTGAATAACGTGGCTGACCTTGGGTCGGTGACTATTGACTGATTGAGTAACTCTTCCTAATCTAAAGAATTCTAAGGAAACCTTTCTGGGATCTAATTGCAGTATTTATAGAAGTCCAGGAGTGGCCTTTAACCTAAAGGTTTAGGTCTCTGAGCCTAAAGCAAGACAGTATGGGGGGAAGTTACAGACCGGGGTGTCCCTAAGCAAACCTCTTCCGATAGGTAAAGTCACCGTGTCCCTCTTGCTGTGCTCCCTTACGTTTCGCTGCCCGGGAGCACAGCATTGGTGATCCCCAGTGACTGCTTTCATAGGAATTTCCTTTTTCCCCCTAAAAAATGAGGGCTCATGAGCACTGATTTGGGAAAAAAAAAACAAATGCCAGGACATTAAACTAGCAAAGAACGTAGCATTACCTGTTTCCTATTAGAAAAAAAACAACGCTCTCACCTGGAGCTCACGGTTTTAGCTTCGTACCAAGGAGATACTTCAGACCTCAAGCTAGTGAGTCCAAAGGAAGTGTCACCACCGGTTACCCTGGGTCGTGCACGTGTACTCCTCATTGTTAATTGAAAGTAAAAAGGAGGAACATTAACTGGCAGGATCCTTTTATTATTTTGAAAAGGGCTACTGTAATGCTAAAGTTCTGTGAACCGAAGTGACATATTTTAAGACCACTCAGGTTACGAATAATGAGATGAATTATGTGAAAGCTAATGTTATCTGAAGCGACATATGGAAAATAATATTGTGACATCCCTTAAAAAGCTGAACGTTCCGCCAGACTTCCTCTTGTCCATCTGTCATTCTTTCCGTTTTTTTTTTTTTTCCTTTTGCATGGGCTATGCTGTTATTTTTGGTTGTTGTGATTAAAAGTATTTTAAGGCATCTTTTTACATCTCGTATGCATATTTTTGTTCGAATCATACTCAGTTTTTATATATAAAAAATAGCGTACTGGCCAGATGTATAAATGCCTTTGTTCCTACATAAGCTGGTATTGTGGTGTTCTAGAAAGGCGGGTCCGGGAGCTGTGGTGCTTCTCATGCTTTCTTCACATTAAAGGGATGTTGCCTCATGGACAGATAACCTTATGAACTTAGCAGGGGTTGAAATCTTGAATTCTGTTCAAGTGTTTTATTCCACCTCCTGTCAGTATACACATGGAATTTTAGCTGTGAACGTGTTCATTCACATTTCTTTTGTGTTTGATGCCAGAGCCAATCTTTGAGTTGGCGTGTATTTTTGTGAACTCTCCAAGTACAGTTGGAGCATGGATTTTCTTTCATTCATCACAGAAGAAGAATGGGTGCTATCTGGGCCAGTGTTGAAATTGTAGGTAAATAGCTGCCATCTCTGAAGGGTGAGTTCAGATGCTGTGCCCCAGCAGAACCTGGTCAGCCTTGGAAAACACTTGGATCATTACAGCCTCAGCCAGTAGAGGTCTGGCTACACTCAAGAGAGAACTGTGCAAATCTTGTCTTGCTCATCTACCCAAACCTTTTAAAAAAGAGAAGAAAAGGTGGGGAGTGGGCTTAGTAAGTATTACTTGTTTTTAAGTTATAGGAGACTTAACCTCTTGTGAGAACGTACAGGATTGGCTGTGTTGCCCAGAAGAGAGGTTCCTGCCTGCGAGTGTCTGGGTTCAGTTCCTTCTCTTGAAGATGGCAAGAGTGCTTTTCTTTAGTCTTTATAGTGTTGTCAAATGCTTGTTTATGTACAGCCAAGGACTCTGAGTGTCCCCGAGGCATCCTCAGGATAGCTCAAGACTTCCTGTAAGTTCCATCAGACTGACTAACCTGATCTTCTTTTGACATTTTCTTAAAACAAGTGATACTTAAACTAACACGGTTTTTTTTTAACTTGTCCTTGGTCGACTGTTGCTTCTCGTCTTGCTTTATACCATGCTTTGTCCTCTGCTTGTCTGTGATACTCTCAGTGAGGGGCTGTGGTGGATTTTGTTCTCAGGACCTGTTCGGCACACTCTCCAGATCTCTAAAGCCTACTTGTCGACACACCACATTACACCCGAAGGCTCTTGGGGACTTTTGCTCTGTTTCGTGTATTGCTATGTGTAGCTACTGAAGGAACAAGAGTTAACATCACTTTTCTGTAAGGGACAAATATTTCTTGTTTTTTGAAATACTTGCAGACATCCATCTAGGAATGTGACTCTTCTGTAAAAGATGTTTTTATTCTAAAACACATAAACATAAGCATGTTGGAACAGTTGGTATTCACAGCAAGCGCCTGGGTTAGATGGCAGGAGAGGTGGTCGGGAGCCCTCTGGTAGGGTGGATCTGATTTGGAATGGTTTTGGAATGTAGGGTTTTATTTCACAAGTTTCTAATACCAAGCATAATCCCGTCTTTATGAGGTCATTTGCTTTGCTCCTCTGAAACTGGTTGTAATACTAGCTTTAGTTTGAAACGCCTGTTCCTCGTAATCTGTTTGTACATTTGAGACCAGTAACAACCAGACTCCTTGTTTCCATCTTCAAGATATGAAAGTTATTTTTCCACTTTCATTACCTCGTGCATTGTCACCAGTTGTCACCCTTTGAGTTGTTGCATTCTCGTGGTTATTGCTGTTCCCCACTGGTTCTTACCGAGTGCCGATGTAGTGCATTTGGGGCCTGGGTTGACAAAGAACAATTGTCCAGTCGTGGTGCCCTAACAGAAGGTGTCTCCTTTTCATTCCAAGTCACCTAAAGATACAAAACAATAATCACATCTTACTCCATAAACCATCAGAAGTAATTTATGCCCATAGCTCAGATTTGTTCATATGCTTCAGTTTAAGAAATACATTGTTTTTGATCTTTAGCATGCTGGAGTATGATACAGAGAACCTGAACTCTGAAGAAATTTATAGTTCTCTGCGTGGAGTTACGGAAGCCATTGAAAAGTTTAGTTTTCGAAGCCAAGAGGATCTGAATGAGCCAATTAAACGAGATGGCAAGAAGGACTGTGATATTGTAAGTATCCCCAGGCCAGCAGAGAACGATACTTCAATTAAGTGATAATTCTGAAGATTGACCACTATGAATACTGAACTATATCTTGTAGTTAGAATAATACTATTTTAAGAGGCCCAAGGCAACTTTATAAAATTTTGAGTAACCCTCAGCTGTCTGTGAAAAATGTAAACTACCTTTTTCTCCCCAGTTTGATTTTGTTTATCCTGGACATATTTTTGTTCTTGTGACATGTTCAAAATAATAGGTCAGAATCGGACACCAGCATGGCCTTCTGGGAGCTCTGGTCTCACGCAGAGGCAGGCAGATCAGTGGGAAATCGTGGTGCGGCGGGGAGTAGTCAGCGCTCAGTACTGGAGAGATACACTGGGGCAGTCTTGGTGTTCAGGAAAGGTCACTGGGACCCTCGAAGCTGCGTGAAGCAAAGGGTCAGAGGGAGTTTGGACAGATAGGAGGGGGCCCTTGTGTTTGGCATGATTTCCCTTTGCAGGTGGCTGAAGTAGAGAGAGCAGGCGTATCGTGTTGGTGGCAAGGTTTGGGGAAGAGGCTGCATCGGTTGGCTCAGGAAGGGTGCTCACACCCAGGGGACTTTTCTGCCATGTCTTAACTTTACTCTGAGGTCACTGGAGAGTCTTTATAGGGTTTTTAACCAGGGAAATGGCATGGTCACACTTATATTTTAGAAAGAATGCTGTCACTTTGAGATGGAGGATGACTCTGGAGGACGTAGGGTTGGGTAGGGCACACACTGAAATACGAGAGTCAGAAGTCTCTGCCTAGGACTCTAAAGTGCTGGGGCAGTTCAGGGAGTTAATACTCTAGGAAGAGAGGAAGAACATTTGTCAGTCCCTTTAGAACATAATGAATTCAGTTTTGAATACATGTAACTTGAGGGACCTGTGGCATATCTGAGCATGCATATCCCGTAGGCCTTTGCAGAAAGCAGTCTGGAGTTTTGGTTGGCCGTTCAGGCTGGGGATAGAGATTTGAGAGGCATTGACAAGTTGCTTGATGATAACTAAAAAGTGAGTGAAAGCGACCCATTAAAGGGTAAGGACAAAATCCTAAGGTGCATCAACACTAAGGGAAAAACGGAAGAAAAGGAGTTGGAAGGAAAGCTATAGGTTATTGTGTGGGAGGCCAGGATAGTGTGGTGTCCGAGAATTTAAGGGAAACTTTTGGGAAGGACATTCTAGCCGAAAAGAGGGACCAGTCAGATGTGGAGTGAAAGGGCTCCACTGGATTTTTTTTTTCTATCTGCATTAAATATGATAAAGTGGAAATTGAATTATTGAGCAGGTTCAAAATTCAGCATCTTAGCTGCTAGATGACCAGAGTGTTAGTGAAGAAGCTGGAGGGGATATAAAAATGCATTATGTGTGAAAGATTTGGGAACTGGTATGTCTTTTTGGCTTGTTAAGTGCCTCAGTCTAATAAGACAGACATCCATAAGGATGAAAGTCAGATCCACTGGGAAAATGGTTCCCAAAAACAGAGATGAAAACATTCAACATGTGGGAGAAAGTCCATCCTTATGAGTGATTATAGAAATACAATAAACCCTTTGAGGTTCCATTTATGTCTAAATTGTTCCACTTTGTTTCAAAGAGAAATTAAAATATTTAATGCTAGAAAGGATATAGGGAACTAGTATAATATTGGTGGCATGGAAACTTGATACAGTTGCTTTGGAGCTTAGTAAATTACATTTAGCCTAAGTGATATTGATATATATATATATACACATACATACATACATATCTTAAAGAGAGACAGAGTGTGTGAGTGGTGGTAGGGGGGTGTTAGGGGGTGAAGGGGCAGGGAGAGAGAATCTTAAGCATGCTCCACGCTCAGCTTGGAGCCCAACATGAGGCTTGATCTCATGACCCTAACTAAGATAATGACCTGAGCCAAAACCAAGAGTCAGACACTTAACCAACAGAACCACCCAGGCACCCCTCAGCCTAAGTGATTTTAAGTTTCATATCCTTTACCCAGTAATCTAACTTCTGGCAATCTAAGCTAGATGAGAAACTCAGCAAAAGAAAAGAAAGTTATTATCTACAGTGCAGTTTATCTCAGCATTATCTGTAACGAAAGCCAGAAATATTAAAAAACAGAAGGGGAATAGTTGAGTAAATCTCACTAGAACACAAATGGAAATAGTGGTATGAGTAAACATTGTGGTTACAAACACTATTTATGGACATTCTTACACTGCGAGGAAAGCAAAATATATGGTCGTGTGTACTCTGTGATTCCCATCTCGTACAATCTGTGAGAAGACAAGGACAGGGATAATACACAAGTTTAAAAAGTAAGATCTTTCGTTTTACTTTTTGTTAAAAGTGATTAGAATTTTAGGATGGTTTAGCTTTATTTCAGAAATGTCTGAAGTTTTTTAAACCCTTTCTCCTTTTCTAAGTTCTTTTGTTATAATAATAATATGTGTTTTACTTTGAGAAGAGAGTTACAAGGAGAAAAAAATTAAATCATCCATGAATCATTTCCCTATCATGAAAAAAGCCCAAAGTCTTATTTTATTCAGGTCTGCCCATGTGTTGTATATCCTTTTTACATCTTAGCAGTTAGTAGGACATCTTTTTTGATGGTATTAAAAACCAGATGCATCCCAGCAGTTCCACTAGGTGTATGTTCAAAAGAATTAAAACAAGGGACTGGAACAGATACTTGTACCCCAGTGTCCATAATAGCATCATTCACAGTAACCAGACGGTGGAGAAGCAGCCAAATATCCAACAGATAAATGGATAAGCAGAATGGGATAGATGCGTCCCGTGGAGTATTATTCAGCCATAAAAAGGAAAGTGATATTGACACATGTTACAACACGAATGGACCTTGATTAGGCGAAGTGACATAGTGACATATGCAGATACTGTATGAGTCCACTTCCATGAGGTACCTCGAGTAGTCAGATTCAGAGACAGAAAGTAGAATAGAGGTGACCCAGGCCAGGGATGGCAGGGAGTTATTGTTTAATAGATGCAGAATTTTGGTTTGGGAAGACCAGAAGGTTTGCCTAACAGATAATGTAGTCGTCATGGTTATACAGCATTGTGACTGTCTTTAATGTCATTGTATTGTACACCTATGATATAAATGATTAAAATGATCTACGTATATTTTGCCACAATTTTAAACTGGCTTTTTTGCCACAGTTTTTAAAAATGCTTAAGCACAAGGTGCAAGAGCTGTATCTTGTTAGAAGCACAAGTCAGACATGTGCCACAGGAGTCCCCAGTGTGTCCCGCTGCCTGGAGACAGCTCCAGCATCGTCACACAGTCCTATGGCAGGAGTGAGGAGAGTGAGGGTTTGTTCCTGGTGGTCTGTCCATGCTAGTTGGGTTATAGTGACGCCCTGCAAAGGAAACCAGACAGGCCGGGGCTCCTCAGAGAAAGGACCCCCTGGGAGAGAGGGGGTCGTCAGGAACATGACACAAGGACCAAAGGACCCAGGGGTTTGATTTGTTAAGGACAAGTCTCAGTATATGTTAGGAAGAAAAAGTTTCAGGAAACAGCCGCAAAGCCTGTTCTTTGACCCAGCATAAAGCCCAGCTGAGAGTCACAGGTGTCCAGGGGGTGACCTGCCTCCCAGCTAGAAAGTTCTCCAGTGCTGGAGATTAGTAAGCGTTGTTTGGCTTTATGGGAATACATGCAAGGATATCCTGGAGGGTTGGGCTGCTTTAGATCTGTGGTGGTAATCAGGGAAGCACTAGCTTGGTGGTGTGTCAGGGCATCGCTGAGGAAACCCTGCTGTTCATGAAGAAATGGTAGGCAGCAGTGCCGACACACAGGATTCCTGGAGAAATGTTCGAGTAAAAGTCATCACCAAGTACAAAGTAAAACACACTTTACGTGTAAATGAGTGAATGAAGGGGTGAAAAAGTAAGCCTGTTGGGTTCCCGTTAAGGTAGTTTATGAATTAGATGTTTGCAGATTGAAATCCTAGTAACTATCCTTTGGTTGGTGGCCAGAATTCACGTGCGAAATCTGACTCTCCTAATATTCTGAAAAGTGGAGGGAAGAGTTTGTTTAAAGTCCTAAACAGGAAATGACCATGTGCTGTGCTGCAGGTGTCCCGTGATGGTGGAGTTGCCTCGCCTGCCACTGAAGGCCGGGGCGGCAGCGATGTGGTGGAGGGAGGCAGAACAGCTCTGGATAACAAGACGTCCCTCCTCAACACCCAGCCTCCCCGCGCCTTCCCAGGGCCCCGGGTGCGAGACTACAATCCGTACCCCTACTCCGACACCATCAACACCTATGACAAGACAGCCCTGAAGGAGGCCGTGTTTGATGATGACATGGAGCAGCTTCGAGATGGTTCGTCTTTCTTGGCGTGATTCCCCCCCGCCCTTGGACCCCAATCCAAAATGCTTTCTGTGGGGCTCTCTCCTCTTGTCAGAGCAGCTCCAGGCCTACAGGACATACGGGGTCTGTTCTGGTTAGTCGCTCGCTCAGCAGCTCCTCGCTGAGCTTCTGTCTTGTGCTTAGCCATGGAAGGCACAGCTGTGAGCAAAAGTAGACACAGGGTCTGCCCTCTGGAAGCTTACAGCCTTCTCACAGGGGCAGTTGTGAAGTAGGAGTCGCACAGCTGACCTAAACTTGGAGCTCTCCCACTGGGGTGAAGGCAGGTCAGCTGTGCCCATGAGGGAGGGCTCCCCGGAGGAGCCAGGGCTTGAGTGGAATCAGAAGCACGAAGGCAGTAGCAGTTAGCTACTACTGTTGGGGGGCAGAGGCCCCTGCTGTGCACTCTCCCAGCCCTGAGCTATGGAAGTAGGATCCTGTATGGAAGTACGACCATTGAGAAGCTCCCTTCTGTCACCAGCGTTTTAACCAGGTCTTCCTGAAGCTGCTTTGGGTTGACTTCTGTCCTGTGGTTCGGAGAGAAGCAAGCTAGCATATACTGAGCTCCTGTACCACGTGCTTGCTGCCGAACTCAGTGTTTTACCTATATGGCTAATGAGATAGAGGGCTTATTCCCATTTCACAGATCAGGAAACTAAGGGTTTGGAAAAGTTAAACTACTTGTCCCAACTATACTTGGCAAAGAACAGAACTAGTCTGCTGTCTTGTTTTGTTGTCTCACATTTGTGTTAAGACCAGTGTCCATGATTGAGTAATAAATGAGTGAAGTATGTGTTGGTATGATGATATTTTTATCAGGAGCTTAATTATTTCCTTTTCACCTGATTGTCATGTTCACTTCATAGTCATTTTTTTGAGATTATATATATCTGCTCTGTTCCCAAGCCGTTTGTTTTGTGTTTTTATTTTGAATGGAGAATTAAATCAGAATCCTAAATTAGAACTCTAAACAGTTAGCATTCCCTGTGTGTCATGAAGTTTGTAGCTTGCTGGGGACAAGGTGGCAGATGAGACACTGTCCCTGGCCTCAGAGAGTTCAAGGTCTGTCAAGGGAAACAGACTTATCACAATGGCCCTGGAAAGAGGAGGGTGCCACACTAGCGCAGATGCTGGTTTCACTGGGGACACATAAGAAGGAGGACTGGGGGGCACCTGGCTGACTCCCTGGCTCAGGTGGCTTAGTGTGCGACTCAGTCTCAGGGTTGTGAGTTCAAGCCCTGTGGTGGGTGTAGAGCCTGCTTTTAAAAAAAAAAAAAACAAAAAAAAAAAGAGGAGGAGGAGGAAAACTGTGCTCTTGCAACAGCTCAGTGATGGGACCCTAAGACAGCAATGAAGTCCTTCGGTCATTTGAAGGCACATACCCTGGCTGTTATCTGCTAATCGCCAGTGGGTAGCCGCTCCGGAGATTCCCAAGGAATCCCAGTGGTGTTTCCTGGGCCATAGGCCAGGTACGATGGTTATTATGAATCATACTTTCATGGAGTAGGGTGCTGTTTCCTTTCACTGCTCGTAGAATTGATAGCTCATTTAACTTAACCCATTTGTAGGTCTCATTTAAGATAGAACAGAGATTGGGGTAGATGTTGGTTGTTATCTGTTCACTGACTGTATGCTGAAAGGCTCAAAGAGAAAGGTGAGAATGCAGCAGGGTAAAGATCGAGTTCTTTAACATTTCAAACTTCCTGTGTGTGTGTGTGTGTGTGTGTGTGTGTGTGTGTTCTCCTACCTTAGATGCCTTAAGAAGAAAAAAAAAAGTATGCAAAATCAAATTTAAGTAGTGTCTAATAATTTGTCTTTCCCTTTTCATCCTTTTTATTGAAAGGGAATGTTTAGAGTTGAGGTCTTGAAAGAACATGGGAAGAGAAAGGATGCCGTTTTTGGTTGAAGTCCTGCAAGTAATTTTGTTAAGTGATGTTGGCTAGTTTAGTCTGTGACTAGACAGTCCATGAATAGTCTAAACATCTTGACTAGTATCTGTTTGCTGCTCTGGTTACTAAGCTTTGGACATTTGGGCAGGGAAGAGATGTCAGAGGATCAGATGTGATATGAGGAGGGCCCTGAGGTGATCAGATGTGACAGTGAGGAGGGCCCTGAGATGATCAGATGTGATGCTGAGAGGATCAGATGCGTGCTCCGGTGGCTGTGGCAGCAGAAGGGGACCGTCCGGCAGCGGCCTGACTTAGGGCTGCTGCAGTGGGGGTAGACTTGGGGGAAAGACCATCAAGGAGAGACTGTTAGATGGCTCCCCCTGTTTGTCTGAAATAGGAGAGGGCAAAAGATGGTAAGGAAGGGTAAAGACACTGCTGTCAGTACTTGCCACCTGGTCACACATCTCTGTCTTTATTGCTGGGGAGGTGGCCTGCAGAAAGCGTAGAGGGAGGTGGTTCAGGGTGGAAGGCACGGCGGCAGGGACGGAGGAGCTGCCTCTGGGAGAGCGGGAAGCTGGCGGAAGGGAGCTGAGCAACCCCGGGGGCACGTCCGCCACCGGGGGTTCCCTTGGGACGAGACTTGGGATGTGATTTGTCTCGGTGTCTCCCCAGTGCCCATTGACCATTCGGACTTGGTGGCTGACCTTCTGAAAGAGCTGTCCAACCACAACGAGCGGGTGGAGGAGCGGAAAGGCGCCCTGCTGGAGCTGCTCAAGATCACGCGCGAGGACAGCCTGGGCGTGTGGGAGGAGCACTTCAAGACCATCCTGCTCCTGCTGCTGGAGACGCTCGGGGACAAAGACGTGAGGCACCTTCCTCGTCCTTCTGCTTCCCCTCTTCCCAGGGGACAGGCTATGGCGTCCTGTTCTCCTTGAGTGTGGTGTCGGCTTTACTTTCTGTATTGTGCCTACTGTTTACATCAAAACATTGTTCAGATATTTTCTGAGCAGCAGTTGGTGAGGTCATGTTTTGGTCAGAGACAAGGCCCCTGTTCCTAGCTTATTAGATGCAGGTTTTTATTGTAATCAGGATTATAGGACCTGAGGGAAACTTGTTCTTGCTTCAGGTTACTTTGTCTTATATGGAATTTCTTACGACTTTGTTAGCATGGAATTTTTTTCACAATGAGCTTTTTTTCTGTATGAGTGTTAAGTTTCGTGTGTTAATTGAGAAGGAGACAAGTTCATTTTTTAAAAGACCCTGCTAGATGCTGCCTTCCATGAAGTTCTGTGTAGGTTCAGCCCTGCATATGTGAGCAGTTCCAGTGGTCTTCATTGGTCAAGCAGCAGATTCTTAAAGTGTGGATTAGTTTCTATTACCTTCTTTATTATTTTAAAAATGAAAAACCCTCTTCATACTGTGACATTTAAACGTGGCCCACAAGGCATTTGTACCATGCCAGGTCTGTAACCTGCCTATGGCACCACGTGGATGACTGCCAGGAGGGAGCTGCCTCGTCGGAGCCCTGCCCTCTCCCATCTGTGTGTTGGTCCCTTACATGGAGACAGCAGTAAACGTTGGGAATTGTCTGAATTACACTCTAGAAGTAAAAATCCATCTCTGTACCAGGCTTTGTGTAGGCTGGCGGAAACAGCAATGCAGTAGGTGCGGTGGTGAGCTCAGGGCCAGGACTGGGTGGATTCGGTGGAGGCTCAGCACGGCCCACGGTATAGGTCACGCTCAGGGTCCTGTTGGTGGTGACTTTGTTGGGAGACGGGTGCACGTGGGCTGCGGAGTGTCGTGGTGACTGATTTCTTTCTGATGCTTGGGGTTAATGGGTTGGTACACTGGTAGGTGGACAGTGAAGAAAGGGCTGAATTAACTTCCCTGCAGCAGAGTGTTGGCTGCTGAAGCCCGTCTGCTTAGTCGGGCTTTGTTGGGAGCTAAAGTGATGTCACGGAGAGGGCAGGTGGATGGTGTGTCCGAGTGGGAACTGATGTGGTGTGTGAACTGTACAGATGAGCGGCAGAGGGTCAGGATGTACTTTTTGGCTCTGTTTGGTGTAAACCCCATTTTCTTTTACTGAGATTAGGAGTCTGTTTGAAATGGCTTTCCTCCAAGTGGTGAGACTCGGGCCGCAGACAGCTCGAGGCGTGTGCACATTCCCTTTCCCCGTGATCTCATCACACAGAAGGTCGGGAGTAGCGACAGGGCTGCAACTCTCTCAGTCCACAGTCTTACAGGTCATGTTGATGAAGTGGGTAGATGCTTTTCACCTGCTCTTATATACATTTTACAGAAGGGTAATTTGCCTTTTGTATATCTCAGCCTCAGGAAATCTGGAAATCCCCCCCCAGGAGATGGATAATGAACTTAGATATGTCGTCCTCATTTGGTCTCATTTGGTCCTTATTTGGCTCATTCCAGAAACCTTCATCAGATCCCTCTAAGTGCTGGGCCCTGCACCTGCCTCATGGAGCCGGCCCCTCAGCCTGGGCCACGTAAGCGGTGTGACCTGTCAGGGTACCAGCGAGGTGCCAGGGAAGCCCAGGGCTGGGTGCCTGGCCCTGCCTGGCACTCTTAGCTGGCATGCTCATTGAAGTGCTGGGTAGCGTTTGCTAATGTCTTCCTTTCCTCTTGTACTCCAGCATTCCATCCGAGCACTAGCACTGAGGGTTTTACGAGAAATTCTGAGGAACCAGCCAGCAAGATTTAAAAACTACGCCGAGCTGACCATTATGAAGACTCTGGAAGCCCATAAAGATTCCCATAAGGAGGTGAGCCAAGCCTCTAGCCTCAGAGTGCTGAACAGATGGGTCTGGGGGTACAGTGAGGATGTGGAAAGAGAGGAGTGTGGCTCACTGTGCAGCCTAAGACAGGTGTAGGACAGGGAGTTGCTCTCATTGAGCTTGTCCCCGGGCCATGACACAAGGCGAAGATCCCACTGCTGGTGTGATGGCTGAGCCTGGGGATAGCTGAGGGCCTGGTGCCACTTGGTAGGTTCCCGACTCCTTTTCCACCTGTGCAGAAACTGACCTGTTCCGCTGACCTTTCCCTGAGGGATTTCTCAAGTCACTGGTTCCCATTGCTGTGGTCAAAAGAAGGGGTGTAAGGCTCTGCCATTTCCTGGTGGCATTCAGCACCCATCAGACTGGTGTTGGGAGATCAGGGTTGGCTTGGGAGACGCAGATGGGCGAGTGCTAGAAGCAGCTCTTCCTTACTCCACAACTTCAGACAGGTTCTTCGGCTTCCAAGCTTCAGTGCCCTTGTGTGTAAGATAGAGGTGGATATGGTCACAATTTCTTATGAGAATTAAATGAGACAGTCAGTGAGGGTTCCTGGTCCCTGGCATGTGGACACAGGTGCTACACCACATTGGTCTTCTTCCCTTTCCTGTCCTCTCATTGTGTCACTCTCTGCAAGATCTCAGTGAATGGAGGCAGTCATGTTATGCCTCTCCTACTAGCTCCTGAACAAGTAAATGCTAGCAAACTGTCCCAGCACCTCAGATGCCTGCCGGGGAGCTGGAAGGACATGTTTCTGTGTCCCACACACTTGCAACCTGCCTTGATTGGACGCTCAGTAAATCCTTATCTACTTGCTTCCTGAATTGTCCAGCCCCCGTGGCTCACCAGTCCTTTGAGTGTCTAGGGACCTGCAAAGAAGATGGAGGGAGCTTTTCTGAATACCACTGGTCTCAGCAGCACTCTTCTGATGGACGGCACTGTGGGAAATAGGGCTGTGTACTTAGAACTTCAGAAAACTTGAGTGGGTTTGACCCCGAGTGAGACATAACCACTTGCTCAGTTCAGTCTCTTGGCTCGCATGTGACCCCATGAGCACACTCATGGCTTAAGGGAATTGCAGTGAGAGCACTTCTTACATGTCCACAAAAAGAATCCGGACCCAAAGTCGTGGTTTTCCTGTTTAGCAGTTACGTGACTGTCAAACAGTAACAGGTCTATCCTCCTGAAATCCACCCCAAAATAGCAGACTCAGCAAGGGTTGGGATCTCGTGCTCTGTCTGGGCGTCTCCACATGATGGTCGTAGCGCAACACAGGGTCGTGAGTGATAGATACTGTTTACGTCTGAAATCTGGCTTGGTTGTGTGATTGTGAAAATCACTCACGTTTGAACAAAACACTTTCCATTTGCGGTAACTCATTATAAAAATGTGAGGACCAGATGAGCTAATAGAGTCAACACCATTACACCTGAGCGAGGAAAGAGGGTCCAAAAAATGCTCTAATTTGTCAGGTAATACATGGCAGTTATTGGCAGAACCAAGAAGCAGATCATGTGTCTCTTTTAAGGGGCAACTGGCCTGGCCCATGCTGGCTGGCCTTTTTTTTTTTTTTTTTTTTTTTTAATTTAACCATAATAGCTTCTCCTTAATGAGAATATACATGATCAAAAAATGAAGTAAGTGGTGGCTGAGTGGCATGGTCGGTTAAGTGTCCGACTGTTGGTTTCAGCTCAGGTCATGATCCCAGGGTCATGAGATGAAGCCCTGCATCAGGCTCCACGCTCTGCAGGGAATCTGCTTGAGTCTCTCCCCCTTCTCTCTGCTCCTCTCTCTCAAATAAATAAATATATCTTTAAAAGTAAAATTGGTGTTTTTTCGCAAATATCTGATATCAGTTGTTTCCTCAGGAGAGGACATACTTAGAATGTGGCATCAAGGTGAAACTAAGCCATCCATAGTGTGTGGCACTTACCAGCTGTCCCCTCGGAAGATGTTTCTGTTTAAAGTCGGCATCCTGATCTTGAACTTAGAAACTTTGACAGTAGTTCCTAAGAAGTACAAGTGAACAGAATGAAATAATCTGTTTACTATTAGCTACTTTCTTGAGGGATCTTGTTTTGAGTTGTTTTTTTTTTCCTCTCACAAAATGAGAAATTTAGGAGAGAAAGTTCTTAGGTGCCACGTCCTTTCGATTGCCCAAGGGACAGAAGCAGAAAATATCTGTTGCTTAAAGTCAACTTTGTACCACTCAGTTGGTGTGGAATTCGAATAACCCAGGGTCTCCACGCTGCTGTCACTGATTGTCTGATAAAGCAGGTGGGGAAAACACTGTGTTCCAAATAAAGGAGTGCCTGTATTGGCAGGTCGCCCCTGCTTTGCATACTTTCATACTCACCTTGACTTGGTGCCCTTGTAGTTTCCTTGTGAAACTTCACTCTGTCACTTTGCCAGAAGCTCCTCACTGGGGCATCTGTGTATATAGGTTTTAGGTATATATATTTTTTCTTTTTCCTTCCCTTTGAAATTCTTCTAGTCTTTCTTGTGTTTTAACTGATCTGTCTCCATTCCCCGTTTTTGTGTTTTCGGACAGAATACTTGGGTGCATATCAAGTGTGTGTTGTAGCCATCTTGTTGGCATAGAACATCACACACGGTATTTCTCTAGTTGTTACATCTTCTCAGCACTACGTTTAGACGTTATTCAGACATTGGGAAGGATCCCAAAAGCTTCTAGACCCAGTGACTCATACCAGTTCTGCAGAGGCAGAGTCTGTTCTCGTAGCTAATTAGTACCTCCAAAGTGTAGTCTTTCCTTTGAGCTCCCTGGAATTTCCATCTCATAGGAAGCTGGTTAGTTTTGTATTCACAGACAGAACCCAGGCTTTAGCAGGACATAAAGGACATGAGACCTGGCAGCCGACACAGGGTGCTCTGAGACCTTAGTCCCAGATGTCCTCCCATGCCCACTGTGGTGGTGGCCATGCCACAAGGCGCCTGGAGATGGCACCGCAATGAGATCAGTGAAAAAAGCTTTTAGGGCAGAGGAATAGGGCAGGGCTAATGACAAGATGGCTCATTTTCCCATCCTTTAAGTCAGGGTCTTTTAATAGGAACCATGTGTGCAAAACACTTTTGTTACACGTTGAAAGTGTCCTAGGTGCTAGATCTCGCTCCGGCATCACCCGTCCTCAGCCAACACAGACACGGTAAGCACCCTGGAGGATTTGGATACCAGTTTGGAGTTTCTGTTTGAGAAGTTGGTGTGAATCAGCTTAGAGAGGTTTTCCTATTCCTTATTTGAATAAGTACATCTTCTTCATTATCTAACTCCATGTTTCTATCTTTTTAGTAAATAAACTTTGCCACTGAGTTTTAATGTCTTGTTAATGAAGTCACTGTGGTTTTCAGTAGGTTTAGCTTGTAGCAAACGCCTTAAAGGGCCCAGCCTTGGTAGTGACCTTCAGAAATCTGAAGCCCATTTTCTGTTTTGAAGGAAAACTCCATCAATTTTAACTCTTCACATCTTAGAATTTGCACTCTGTTTGGACTGCTGCTGAATCCCTCCTTCACTGATGAAGAGGGAATTTGATAAGAGAATCGAGGGTACAAATGGATTCTGGGGTCATTGTGGGGGATGACTCTGGAGGCCGGAAACCCAGTTTTCAGTTCAAGAGTGTGTCCTGTCCAGCTGTGTTGTTGGGTCTCATCACCACTGTGTGACCCTGGCACATGGCAGTGTGGAAAGTGTTATGCTATATGAGTATTGCCACATGCAACTGGTTTTAGACATCCTTATCTTTTTTGGAAGTACTTCTTTCTTGGCAAACGATTCATACGCTAATTATGGATCATTTTAGACACATTTTATGTAAGACACATTTGATGTAAGAGCAGCTTTTGCTCCCAGGACTTTTGTCTTACATATAATCCCCCAAATGTGGAAATGTTTGGTAAATGTTTATTCAAACTTGAAAGAAACACCAGCCCTATGTCTTGAGGATGTTCTGTAATTGAAACTTTTGGATCGTTTCCTGAACTTGCCCACATTAGTGAATATTCGGTTATATTTGTCTACTAAAGAATAAAACATTAGCATCCTTTTATGTCCTGTGCTGGGTCACCAGACATCTTGCTCTTGCCATGCACAAAAGTCTGGGGATTCCAGCCATCACTGTCCAGCCTCGGGTGGTTTGATTTGTTTGGGAAAGTTGGATTCTGAGGTAAATAGAAAACAGTTCTTTATCTTTAGGGGTTTTGTTTTTAAATCATTTCTATTTAATTTTATATTTTATGATTTCAAGGAATTAGAAGTAAAGCCAGACCAAGATTATTTCAGACATAAGAAAACATTTCGGGAACCAGTCTTCCTGCTCCTGTTTTACCCTGCTGGCCTGGCATGTCTCATGCAGTCCTTTTGACAAACATGGCCAGAGAGAAGCAGCAGTGTGTCAGAGAGAAGACATTCTGTTTTAGTGAGCTGATAATTCTCTTTCAAATCCCGATTAAAATCACCATCTGACCACGACTTAGCCAGATCCTCTGCACTCTGGAATGGTCCTTGGAGGCCTCCTGGGGCAGCAGCCATGTGTCAGTTGGCTCTGGAGAACAATGCGTTTTGTGAACCTGGAAAAATCACTTCGCCTCTCTGGACCTTGGTTTTTCTTATCTGTTAGTGCAGGGAGTGGACTAGATGATTATCTGTATCTCATCCAGCCTCACAGTACTAGAAGTTGATATTGTGTAACGAACCTTAACCTTTGTAGGTTCTAAATATGTACTTTTTCCTTGACTCAGTCTTGGGCTGTGGCTAGAAACCCAATTTCCTTTGGAAGTTTTTGCTGCTTAAGACAAAGGCAAAACCAGAAATCTATACGATCATTTAAAGGTTAATAGTTGCCAAGCCAACAGTCTGACACTAATAGCCCAAACTCTGGCTAATGATTTATTATTGGAGGCAGGAGGTGGGGGGCATGGGGCAGGGCTCCAGTCTTCAGGGAGCCCGTGGTTTCGTGGAGGTTAAAGCAAACACG